TGGGAGGAGTTTGTTTATTATTTTTATTGGTCTAAATCATCCATTTTTTCTTTGGGGGTTGGTATTATTTATGTTTTATTTTTCAAATATTAATTTCACTCAACTAACAAATCAAAAATTGCATTTTGAAAATAGGAGGAGTTTATTTTTATTGGCCAGACATCTTTTTTTCCTAATGGGTTAAGACTAAATGTAACTTTTTAAAAATTGAATATTCACTCCCTTTTTGTAATGTTGAACCAACGAATAAAAAATTGCTTTTTTAAAGCAGGAGGAGATAGAATCTCATTTTAATTGGTCTAAAAAGTAAATTTTCTATTAATTTTAGAAAAATGGGAAAAAATTGCATATTTTATCTTTCTTAGTATAATTATTTATTTTCTGCTTTTTTATTTTTTATATTTTATTAAATATACTAATAATTGTCATTGAAATTGATTAAATTAAAAAAAAAGTTAATTTCAATATACAATTTTTAGAATTGCTTTAAATAAAATTCATCTTGGAAAGTTGGTTTTCCTATTTCTTGTTTTGAATGTGGATAAAACAGAGGAGAATGTCAGTCCCGCCATCTGTCGTGAGAAATGCGCGGCGATATATCAAGTAGTATATTATCATTGCTTCACACACACACGCATACATCTCACGGTAGAACTGACATCTCCAACTTTAAACATTAATTATTCAATAAGTAAACATTAATTTTCCCTAAATATGTAATAAATAAATGCTTTAATGATTACTTTTGTTAAATCAAATAAGTTTTCCTAATTTTTTCTTTTCATTATTCACTAAATATGCTATTTAAAACCCACTATATTCACTGGAAACTACTTTGTCACTTTTACATATCAATAATTTATTTATAATTGTTTAATTTACATAATATAATTTAAAAATTTAATCTACAAATGTTACTTTATTATTCCCAATAATTTATTTTATAATATTTCATTGAATAATAGCAATTTTCTAAGTCTACCCAAAACCTACCTTAAATCTACCATAACTTGGGTAGATTTACGGTAGCCCAACCCGCCAGGGTGCACTCTTGTCGTTATACAAAAAATAATTTACTTAAATATCAAATGAAGAAGAAAAAGTTACTTTAATATCAGCTAGTTTTAAAACAATTAAAATACACATTTCCGTAAAAAAAATTGGAAACTGAGTTATTTTATAGATTAAAACTTTTATAAAAATATTAATTAGCCACTAAACACATTGTAAAAAACGACACTACAGTTAGTTATGAGAAAATGAACATTTCATAAAAGACGGAAATCGTTTCCCTTATAGGGTAAGTGTGGGTATTCCTGCGAGTGACACAATTATTGCGATTTTTAAAAAATTATTATTTTCATTTTGAAATACACGCCTAATTTTTTCAAAATAGTTACAAAAATTATTTTGAATCTTACTTGATAGAATAGCTCATAAAAATGTACATTCCGACAATTATTTATTTATTTATTTAAATTTGAAATATATTATGACAGAATTCTGTGAAATTATCAAATATGGCAGTCATGAATACATATTAAAAACCATTGATATTTCCAATATTCACTATAGTATACACGTTTCAGTGTTACTAATCAAAGAAGTACACTTTATTATTTGAAAAATATATTAATTTACCCATATATTATTGATTTTCAATTAATAATACTTAAAACTATATTAGTAGCAGAATTTTTACTGCATGTTAGTATTATTACGATTTTTAAATACGTTTACTGCGCAACGCATACTAAACATAACCTCTTTTTTGACAACCAGCGCGCTATGCGACACCTGATTTTCTGCAATAATGCTCGCACAATAATTGGTGTTTCCTTGATAAATGTCACACAATATTAATCGCGAGTCAACAATAATACATGTGTTGACAATTAGTTTTTAATTTACTTTTTTAAATACAAATAAGTAACGAAATTTGATTGAGTTTAATGATTTGGAAAATATAATAATTGAACTTTAATTTGTAATTGAAAAAACTGCATTTTATTTTTTCGAAAACTTAGACGAGCTTCGCAAAGTTAACCTACACTAAAAATTCGCAGAAATACCCACACTTACCCTAATCATAATTCGTTTCGAATTAAAAAATAGAAAAATCGGGTACTTCCCAATCTATCACTTTCTTAAAATTAAAACATATATTTAGAACAAAAATTTTTTAAATTGTAAGAATATTATTTCGAAAACTTAATTAAATATGCAGTCACTTATACACATAACTGCAATTCACACTCGCAAAAAGGGCACTTGAAGATTGAATATAAACGCGGTAACGCAACAGCACACTAATCTAATTGTGGTTAAAAATAATGTCTATTCACTTAAAAAACGACACTTTTGTGTTATTCTTTTTATGCGAATATTTTTACAACACGTTTACGCGACCGCTCACAAGCGCGACTAAAACGAGACTGAACCTGCAAATTCTCTTTGCGCGCGCGAGTCTACTGCCGAGTGAGAGATATGGAAGGAGTGGGGATGAATTCATGCAACGGCGTCGCAAGGGGAGGCGCGGACCTGTAACATTCCCAATCTACCATGGAATCGCACAACAGTATTCAAATTGTTTTTTGTTACGCAGTGTCTATTTCGCCCGTTTGTGGGCGAAATAACAAGAGTAAAGTATTTTGCCCGTTTTCCGTTTTCTCATTAATTTTAATGAGAAAAAAGGTTAACTTATCACTTATATATTGGTGTATAGGTATATGTAGTTTCGTCTCATATTTTCACTAATTCGAATTTAAATAAATCTGGATTAAAATTAAAGTAAAGATTTAATTAAAGAGTTATGAATTGTTGTAATGGTTCAAAAAGTATTTTTATATATATCAATATCAATACTCTTTTGAAAACAATAATATATGTTTAATACTATAAAATTAATGTTATAATTATATGTATAAACATTTTAGTATAAGTACTTTTTTTAAATATCGTAAATAAAAATCTCTATATATATATATATATATTAAAAGATATAAATCAAAGAACTCTTTAAAACTCTACATAAAAAGATTTTTAAATTTAATTGATAAATTAAATAAAGGAACCCACAGGAAATACGATTGTTTTAGATCTCAGTCGATTTTCCAATAAATCTTTTAATAATAAATATATTTTCTGTGTGGTTCTTTTAGATTTAAAATTTTAAATTCACAAAAATATAACACTTCATATTAAAAATCGGACAAGTGCGAGTTTCACTCGCATTAAGATCGAGGGTTCCGTACACCAAAATAAAACTCATTGTTTATAAAAAAAAATTATTTCAAAAATTCTTACAAAATTTGAAAAAAATAATTAAAAAAATAGTAATATATTTTTTTAAATTTCGAATAAATATTTTTATTATTTTATTTTATTAATAAATCTTTATATTTTTTCTTTTATAGTACTTATCTTCGCCAATCACATTCTCTTTATTTTTTCTATAATTTGCACTTGAAAAAAAATATACAAGCTGAATCTTAACTCACCAGGTTTAAATTTATAAAAGTTTAAGTAGGGACAGTGTAATTTTTTCGAAAAATTCAAATTCTTGCCCTTCAATTTCGCAAATAACTCCGCCAATCAGGTTCGCTATATTTCTCCTGTAACCCAATGGGAAATGCCAGTGTAATGCTAGGTTAATTCGCCTGTTAGATAAATCATGACACGATTTATAGAATAACTAGCGCAGTCGCGACGGCCGTAAGCGGCCGTCTCCTTTGCCGTTCTCTGCCATTTCTCAATTCAGTTCCCTGCCTAATTTTTAATTAATTACAATTTTTCTTTTTTCTTTGTGAATTTGATATACAATTAAACTTACACAAACATATAAGCATAAGGCATATGAAACTGGCGAACGCTAAGCATTAAATAGGGAATTATCTTTAACTGTTCTACGCCATTTCTAAATTTAGTTTGCTACCTAATTTTGAATTAATTCTAATAACTTTAATTTCATTACATTTAAATATAAGATTTAAACTCCTGACCTTTTATAATTTTATTTTTTGTTACTATTATTAATAATTATTTATTATTTTCAATAATATTGATTTCAATTTATTTATTCTAATTTCTTTTTTAATAAACATAAATTGATAAATATATACCATTTGTCTAGTTTTAATTATTTGATGCTGAATTAGAATGTATGTTCATTGTTATTAATAATATTAAAAAAAGTTTTTTGTTTATTTAATTTTCTTAATTACTTTTAATTAAAAAATGAATAAAAATAAATATTTATTTTTTATCAATTTCAAAAAAGGCTATCAACATTTTAAAAGTTAGCGCCAACAATTGGACAACCGCAGCTCCATCTGCAACATGCACTTTGCTTAAGGCCAACGCAGAATAGATCTGTAACCGGAACCGCAATCGTAAGCGTAACCGTAAGAATGAGATAAAGAAGGATAGGTATATTGTTTATCCTTCTCTAACTCATTCTTACGCTTACGGTTACGATTGCGGTTCCGGTTACAGATCTATTCTGCGTTGGCTTTTATGAGTATGCCTTTCTCCAATGCTTTTTTCCTAATCGCGCTGCGAGTTCTCTTCGATATTTTCGATCTTCGATCTTGCCCATGCCTTCATGCTTTTTTTTGGTAGGAAATTAGAACTAAATTATTTCTTGGTATTAATACACTAAGAAAATTTCGTCAAACTTTTCAACGTCGGACATTGTGAATTTACACACAAGATTTCTTTACAGTGTAATTTCACATAACCTCTAATACATCACAATTTAAAAAGGTGGGAATTTTGAACTAAGTAAGTGCAATCGGAAATTAAATTTATTTTTAAATTATAAGATTTATTATTTATATTTATTTCTTTATAGAAAATAAATAAAATTTATTTAATAATAAAATAAATAATTTAAATATTATTAATAATATTATTATTTAGATTAATAGCAATATCAATACTCGAGAAGCAAATTGACAATCAAAATATTTATTTCTTTTTGTATAATTAACACATCCCAGATAACAAAATGCGCGTTGTGTGCTACTAATATCATCTGCACGCGTGCCGATTTATCCGCACTATGCGCGTTCACTGGACCACTCAGATGCGTCATCATATGCGATCCATAACTGTCGCATATTGTGATGGGCACATGCGTGACGGTATAATGCGAATAAATTATATTTATACTTCAGCCTTATTTGAATTAAATAAAAAGAAAAGATTATTGACATTAGTAATTTTTTTTAAATTAAAATGTTATTTATAAAAACGATTTTAATTTAATATTTCAGTACAATTTTGGAATTGAAATTGTTAAAAACTTCCAAATTCTTTTTTTGAGGTTATATCTAATACAACAAAAATATATATGTACTTTAAACAAATTAAATTTAACTTTCTTATTTTGCTGCAGTACTAAAAATGAAATCCACAATAATTCCTCACAATAATATCGCAATAAAAAACAATAAAAAATGAAATCACAATAAAAACTTATTTTGATAACACACCACAAACAATGCTGTCGCCATTATAAAATGTGTGATTGCCGATACGGGTGGTTGCGCATCATTAATTGCGTGCGTATTAAGTGCAGTTCACTGCACACGCATTCACAGCATTCGCACTGTGGATGGTAAAATGCGTATGGATTGACTCTTCTAGCGAGTCGCACTTGTGAACGGAACATGCTTATCATTTTGTATCACAGGCGCTTACGAAATGCAGTTCACAACACTCGCATTATTACCAGCGTCACAGACGATAGTAAGATGCGTATATGAACCGACTAATCTGGTAAGTCGCAGTTAGTGCAAGAAACATGCGTTTAAATGCGACGCACGATTGTTATCTGGGTATAATCCACATTTTTTGTCATATCTATTCTATAGAAATTTTTAAGATTGGTAAGTAATTAAATTATTTCATTAATAATTTTAATTACATTTAAAATCAATTTAATTTTAATATGGCTTATTTTTTCAAAAAATTATTCTATGCAACGTTATACTGATGTTCATATTTCTAAAAAAGCCCGCGGTTTTGAAAATATGCTTATTTTTTTCTAATAAATTTTTGACCTTTTAAAAAACAAAGTTACATTTAGTCTTAACTCAATTTTTCTATTTGTTGGCTGAGTTAAACAAAATGGAGAAAAAATTAATATTTAATAAAAAATAAATCATATATTTCCAACCCCCAAAAGAAAAAATGGACGATTTAGACCAATTAAAATAAAATTTAAACTTCTCCTTCTTAAAGAAAGCTATTTTATTATATTTGTTGGTTCAGTTGAAAAAATGGAAGAATATTTATAATTTTAAAAACATAAAATTTAACAATAACCCTTAAAAAAATGGATGTTTAAGACGAATTAAAATAAAATTTAAACTCCTCCTTCTTAATGTAATCTATTTTTATTCGTGGGTTCAATAGAGGAAAATGTAGAAAATATTAAACTTTAAAAAATATAAAATTTAGTATCTACACCGAAAAAAATGCCTAGGACCCGTATACCAGGAATTGACTAGGTTTCCTAGTTACGAGAGGAGCCAACTATAGAATCCTGGTCAAAGTAATAAGATTCAAGCATAGTTAAAGTGGCCAGGAATATTAGTCGATGAAATCAGGAAAAATAGTCAAATTGACTAGGAGAATAATATTGGATTTACACTGTGTATCATAATGATTTGAAATTGCTAATCAAATTCTTATTATCAAATAAAAGAGAAAAACTAATTAAAAGAAAAAAGAAAAAAATTAATTATTGTATTTGAACATATTTATATTTGACTTTGTATTTATATACCTTACAATTAATTTAAACTTATGAAGTAAATATTTGACGCAGGGGGGACGCGAACACCTGAACCTAATGAATACGCACTTTAAAACCCGGAACGATAACCACTACACTAAACACGATTTGGTATTTTAATTTTTTAATAGACACTAGATTTTCGAGTCAAAATACAATACTTAATCAGATGATGTTTTATACATTTCGAGTACACAATTTTATACACTTGTCAAAAACTATTTATTTTTAATTATTTATGACATTCAAATGAAAATAAATTTAAATACACAAATTATTGCAAAGGTAAATTTTCAAACACACTGCGCGATTAAAATAGTAAAAATGTTGTCACCACGTGCGTAAAAATTTCGACGATTTATATTGAAACCTAACCAAAAAAGTCTGAAAGAATTGACTAATATAATTAAATAGTTTACTTTCCAAAACATGGACTATCTGTATTTGTTGAATCAACTCTCTAAATTTGAATCAGTGAAAATACTACTGAATCAAACAGTAATAAAATATTTCACTGATGAATCAGTGATTGAACAGATTTTGACTAATTAATTCAGTAGTTTCTTGTTACTGAATTAAATCAGTGAATTCAACGCAGGCGCAGAAGCTATTGACAGAAGAAATTAGTTTTCACTTACCAACGCGTGCGTCAAAGCGTCTGTTTTGTGTTTTTTTCTTTTGCACTTCGTGATGGTAAATAAAATTGTTTAAACTGTTGCAAAATAGTTCGGAGAAATACAAATAGTGTTATTCGTAAGTATTTTACTAATTATATATTTTCGTATTTATGTAATTGTTACAGATAAATTGTATTGCTTTTCATAAAGAATTCTAACCTAAAATTTAGCATTTGTAAACAAAATTTTCTACTTATATTTAATAACAATTATATACACAATTGTATTGCATAAATTATGAGATTTGATAGAATAGAAATTGACGTTTTAAAATGTGGTTTAACCTTTTCTCAAGCTTAACTTTAAAATCTCACATTAAATAGAAAGATTATTGAATTTTTTTTAGCTAACTATTTCTTATGTATTATTTCAATATCTAAGTAATTTTATTATTGTCATTTAACATCATCAAAAGTATAATTATTATATTTAACTGAATTATCTTTTCGAAAATTAAACTTATATTTTATCTCAAGAATGATATTTGTAGTTCAATTAGAAAAATCGGTTATAAAAAAATAAATTAGAATTTGAAAAAACTTTTAATTTACTTTTATTTTATTTTTCATTAGTTAGTAACTGTTAAAATTTTTTATTATTTATTTCATTAGTTATTATTTTATTTTCATAAATTAAAACCAAAAAAATTTTAGGACTATTTTCTTTAATATATTTTATAATTAATTGTTAATTTAATTTATTTTTAGATACAATTTGGAAATAAAAAATGAATTTCGAGAGCTTGACGGTCGAGGAGCTAGCGACTCACTTAATAAATGGCCATAATATTGATCAGGAAACAATTGAGATCTTGAAAGGTACATAATTAATTTAAAATCACTTAAGTTCAAAAGTAAAAAAATAAATTTTTATTAAATTTATCTATTTTAATAGGAAAACAAATTTTATAATATCAAATATGATTTTTTGCCTTACTTTGATATAAATACTTTTAAAAAATGGAGCGTATTCGATGTTTTAAATGCAGAGAATTTGTAAACGGAGGTGTTGATGGTTTAAGCATACATCTAAAATTTAATCATGGATATACAATAAATAGAGGTTATGGTAATACTGGATTTGAATGTGCACAAGGTGAATGCCGAAAACGGTTTGCTCTTTTCAGTTCATTGAGAAGACATATTGTACAAAATCACTCACAACATGAAGAATTCGAGGAAAATAATGAATTGTTAAATGAAAATAATGAATTTTTAAATGAAAATAATGACAGATTTGAAAATGAACTTGAGGTTGAGAATGCTAATAATGAAGAACACAGAGATTTTGAATTTCAAGAATATGAAAATGTAAATTTCGACATTCATTTGCGTTCATTAGTAGCATCTATGATAAGTAGATTACAGTCAAAGCCTTCCATGACTGGAGCAACTGTAGCTGACGTATTAGACGAATGTGAGCAATTGTTAATAAATTCAACGCGCTTTTTACAATTTAAAGTAAAAAACTTTTTACGTGAAAGAGAAATTGTGAATACTGAAGAAAGTCAAATCCTGCTAGGTCATTTCAATTTCGAAAATGTTTTTTCCGGACTAGAGACTACCGAACAGCAGATGAAGGTTCTAAGAGAAAATTATAACTATATTGACGCCATAGAAATTCCTCTTGGTTACAGGGAAGATACAGTCCTTGACAGAGAATCAGGAACCTTCATTCCAAAATTGATAACGGAAACGTTTCAATACGTTCCAATAATTAAAGTTTTATCACTGGTTTTACAAAGTGATGAAGTTAGAAACTCCATTTTATCGGAAACTGGGTCTGAAGAAGGAGTTCTTAATTCCTTTGTCGATGGTCAACATTTCAAACAACATGAGTTCTTTCAGAGGTATAAATCCGCCTTAAGAATCGAACTCTATTTCGATGATGTTGAAATAGCTAACCCCTTAGGCTCAAAAACCGTTATACATAAAATGGGAGTCGTCTTATTCAGAATTCAAAATATGCCTGTTCATATGAATTCTAAACTAGGAAGCATTCATACAGTTTGTATAGCTTACAGTGACGATATAAAAAAATACGGTTTTGAGAAAATTTTTCAACCATTAATGCGTGATATAAAAAAACTGGAGTCAGATGAAGGTGTGACCATTCAAATAGGAAATGAAAATTTTGTTCTTCGAGCTAGCATTGCTGGATTATGTGGAGATGGGTTAGCTATTCACCAAGTATGTGGACATCTTGATCCTTCTGCCAATAAATTTTGTAGAACATGCCTCATAACCCGTGCAGAACTTCATCGAAAAGATTTTACACCGAAACAAGAAAGAACGAAAGAGATTTTTGAACAGCATGTCGCTCAAATAAAAAATGCAAGAAATAGAGTACAAGAAATTATGACAGAAACAGGAATTAAAAATAGCTGTCCATTAAATGAATCGAAATATTTTCACAATTCGCGTAATAAGATTTTTGACCCAATGCATGACTATTTACAAGGTATTGTACCCATGATTTTGAAATTAAATCTACATCAATTTGTATTTGTGGATAACTTGTTCAATGTTTCGTATTTAAATAATCGAATTTCTGCATTTAATTACGGCGTAACTGAATCCAAAAATAAGCCTTCACCAAATTTTACAGAGGCAATACTTCGTAACACCAATGACCATTCTCTTCCACAGAAAGCTATGCAAATGTGGTGTTTGATTAGAGTATTTCCCTTTTTAATTGCTGAAAAAGTAGCCCAGGGAAATAAATATATGAATATAATCATTTTACTTCTACGAGTGATGGAAATTGTCATGGCACCTAAGGTAACAAAAAGTATTTTGCCATATTTAAGGAACTTAATCACAGACATGTTTAAAGTCTTTGGAAACTTATTCCCTACTGTGAATTTTATTAATAAATTTCATCACGCAAGTCACTACGCAGATTTTATGGAGTGGTCAGGCCCAATGTCTCTTTATTCTTGTATGAGATATGAAGGAAATCATGCTCCAATGAAACAGAGAGCTCAAGTTATACATAACTTTAAAAATTGTCCAAAAAGTCTCGTCCGAATTTATCAAACCACTCAATCTGCATTCTGGGGAGCAAAAGACGTTCAACTTCATACTGTAAAATGTGAAGAGGGTGAAATCGTAGAAGTAGCAGATTGTTTAAGTTCAAATGATTTACAAAACCTTGGTTTCTTAGAGACAGATAAAGTTTTTAGTTTAAAGTCAGTAAGAGTTGATGGCGCTCTTTATAGGACAGGTTTAGTTGTTTGCCTTGATGTAAAAGGTGAAAAAGACATTAACTTACCAAAATTTGGATGTATTAGAGAAATAATAGTCTTAAATAGGAGAGATGTGTATCTCCTGTGCATTCAATGTGAAACAAATCACCTTGATCCTGATTTAAATGCTTTTTCTATTGAAATTGATGAAGAAAGGGGTTTAACTTGTTTTGTGTCTACAAATGCTCTTGGTCATTACAAAACATTCTCTATTTGGTCGCACGCTATGTCAAATGAACTTTTTGTTAGTTTGCGATACCTATTACTTTAAAACTTATCATAATTCAATCATATTTTGCAGACCAGTATATTGATGGAAGCAGTTTCTTAGAACTAACACTAACCGATTTAGTGGATTTAATGAAAATAAAAATTGGACCTGCAAAAAAAATACAAAAAGTAATTAAACAGAATAAAGGAGCTAACATGCAAATGGTCGAAAATGTAAGTTTATTACTTGATTATATTAGCACTAAAGATTCTTAACACTCGACAGTAAACTATTATATTTTTCTAGGTGATGGAGTTTATTGTGGATCCACAAACTGGAGCATTAGATGATGTCCCTCCTGTTGCAATTAATGTCCCTCAAGCTCCACAACATATTAATCGACCAACAACTGGGGAAGATATTCCATTTTCAGTAAGTATCTTTACAAAATTGATATTAATAATTTTTACATATAGGGCAATGAAATAAGTTTATTTACATTTTTATATAGAAATATACAACAGTCAGGGAAACACTGGAACAACACACTCAAGGAATTTCTCTGATAAGTGCTATTAACAAAGGTCATTTTGGGGAAGAAGACCGACGTGCCTTGGTACGCATATTGGTTTCGGAATTGATAAGCAAATATGAAAATCTGTAAGTAATCATACACATAATAATAATTAATTCAGGGTGGCCACATGTCAGTAATGCCAGGGAACTGTCAGTGAAACAAAATTTCTATCAGTTAAGTCAGGGAAATAAATTTTTTGTCAGTAAAGTCAGGGAAATGTCAGGAAAAAAAATTTGTTGTCAGAGAATTTAAGAAAATTGCGACTTTTTTGACTTATTTTCAAAAATTGTGACTTTTTGGATTTTTCTTCCAAACATTGCAACAAAATCCCACAATTTTTAGCAAAAAAAGTGCAATTTATTAGGATTTTTCTAATGCGAAAAGTAACTATAAACAAATCTTTCAAAAATTGTCTTTGAAAAATTTTTTAAGGAAATTAAATTTTTCAAATATATCTATAATAAAAATCTTTTTGAATAATTGAAATTTTGTACAATTTAATTAAAAATAATTAATTTTTTCCAAGTATTTTGTTGCATTTTTGAAAATCAACTTTTGAAGAATTTTCATTGAAAATTGTAAAAAGAATTGTATTATATCAATAATGTTAATGAAAAATCTTTAGATGTAAATTTAAAAATAAAAATAAGCTTATAATTTTTCAAAATTTAATATTTTAAGTATTTTTAATTACATATTTCCGAAGATTCAAATATATATACTAAAAATATTAAAATTTTAGAATTATTTTTAACATTTTGAAGAAAAAAACCATGTTCAAAAATTTTTAATTAAAATTTTTTGAAAAATTAATTAGTTACTATAAATTATACAAAAATTCTTTTAAGAAATTCAATTATTTTTGAAAAATTACATTAAAATATTGTTAAAAACTAAGTATTAGAATTTGATCATTTTCAGAGCTCGCATTGTGCAACTTTTTCGACATTTCTAAGGAAATATGATTTTTTCTACTTTTTTGTGAAAAAATGCGACTAATCGACTTTTTCGAGATTTTTTTTTAGTAAAATGCGACTGAAATTAAAATTTTTTTTAGAAAATTAAACGAAAAAGTTTTATTGAAAAAAATGTTCTTTTACATTTATTTACAAATTTCTTTCAAATTTTTCGAAAACATCAATAACTTCTTTTTTAAATAAATATTTAATTATTATTTTTAAAAATAATTGAAATCGTGAGGAAAATTTAAAAAAAAATTTTGAAAATAATTGAATTTCTGCTAAGAATTTTCTTACTTTTGAAGATAATTGAATTTTGCAAAGAATTTTGTCAGAACTTTAGAAAATAATTAAATTTTCATGATGAATTTTATTATTTATGAAGATAATGATAATTTTGACAAGAAATTTAAAAAGAAATTTGGAAATAGTTGAATAACTGCGAAGAATTTTATTACTTTTGAAAATAATTGAATTTCTAGGATGAATTTTATTATTTATAAAGATAATTGAAATTTTGACAAGAATTTTATTAAAATTCATTGCAAATAATTGAATTTTAGATAAGAATTTTATTATATTTATAATTTATAAAAATAATTGAAATTTTGAACAGATTTTTTTTAAAAAAGTTTAATAGTAATTGAATTTTGCAGAAGAATTTTGATATTTATAAGGATAATTGAAATTTTGAGGAGAATTTAAAAAAAATTTTATAAAATAATTCAATTTCTGAGAAGAATTTTATTACTTTTGAAAATAATTGAATTTTGCAAAGAATTTTATCAGAACTTTTGAAAATAATTAAATTTTCATGATGAATTTTATTATTTATGAAGATAATGATAATTTTGACGAGAAATTTAAAAAGAAATTTGGAAATAGTTGAATTACTGCGAAGAATTTTTTTACTTTTGAAAAGAATTGAATTTCTAGGATAAATTTTATTATTTATAAAGATAATTGAAATTTTGACAAGAATTTTATTAAAATTTTTTTTAAATAATTGAATTTCGGAGAAGAATTTTATTATTTGTAAAAATAATTGAAATTTTGAACAAATTTTTTTAAAAAATGTTAAAAATACCTAATTAAAATTTTGCAATGAATTTTATTAAATATTATTCCGGATTGTTTGATATTAATGATTTTTTTACAATTTTGACAATTTCGTGTTTCCTTTAAGACATTTTTTCTAAAATTTCATGCGACTTTTTTCCGACTTTTTCCGAAATTTTATGCGACTAAAGCGACTTTTTTGAGTCTTAAAGACGATTCGAGCCCTGCATTTTTATTTATATTTTTTAAAAATTCAATTATTTTTAAAAGATATAACCAAATCTTAATTTTTTAAAATTGAAAAACTATTTTATTATGCAATTATTATTAAAAAAAATTGAATTCATGAAGGTTTATAATGATAATTTTTAGAAATTATTAAAATTCACAAATTTTATTCATTTTCCGAAAACATTCATATTTTTCTGAAAAAGGAATTTTGTCAGAAAAAGTAATTTTAATAGCAGTAAATTGTCAGAGAAATGTCAGTGAAATTGATAAACTGAAACTTGTGACCACCCTGTTAATCCTCACATTTTTTAAACTCAAAATAATTTGTATATTTTTTTAGATATCCTCCAGATGACGCTAAATGGGCTTTAGCTAAAGCTATAGTTAGGGAATTTCCTTCCTTAAGAGATGTGAGTGTACCTGGATCAGCGGGATGTGTAAGTTTTCTTAGTATCTAAATTTTTCTAAATTTTCTTTCTAAATTTATGTTATATTAACGTTTAAAATTTTAATTTAAGGAACACTTTTTTGATAAAACAACCAGAAAAGGATTTCTAGAGTTTAGACTCTGGAATGCTCGAAAAGTTGTCAGCCCTTCAAAAAAAAAATATGTCACAACAAAAAATAAAAGTTCCAGGACGAAGAAGACAAGTGATGCAACTGTTGCTGATGTGGATAATTTGTTGCTTCCGGAAGAATTAGAAGAAAAAGTACAGACACACTATATATAAAATTTATACAGATTTATAAACTTTTAATATATATTATATCAGTTTTTATTTATTTCTCAATAAAATTCTTATACTTTTATTTTTAATCTCTTGTAGATAACTTGGATGCAACTCACTATGCCTCGTGTTGATAAAAAAAGGGGGATAACTGATTGTTTGATGGAAACTTATAATGACAGACGCAACTGGATTAAAACTGAAATCCCTACGATTCATGACATTATGTCGAAATACCCACGGCTGTTTGATTTTAATGGAGAAATGGTAATCATTTTTAAATAACTACTTTTAAGAAATTTTTTTGCAACTAAACAAAGTAATGAAAATTGTTTTATGAAAGTTTTATAAATTTTATTTATAACAGGGTTGCCACAAACATTTAATTTTATTTTTTCTTAATTTCCAAACAAAGTTTTCACTTTTTCCCTGACCCTAAGGAATATTCTGATTCTCTCTAAAAATTATTAGATACTCAAAAAAATGTTCTATTACATTTATTTACAAATTTCTTCAATTGTAAAAATATTCGAAAACAACAATAACTTCTTTTTTAAATAAATATTTAATACCAATAAAATCTTTCGCAAGAATTCACTTATTTTTACAAGTAGTAAAATTTCTCAAAAAATTCAATTATTTAAAAAAAATGTAATACAATTCGTTGCAATAATTCAATTATTTTCATAAATAATAAATCGATTATTCGGTAATTTATTTTTAAATCAATTTTTATTAGAAAATTCTAGAAGAATTCAATTATTTAAATTAAAAAATAAATAATTTATTAAATAATTGAATGTTTGTTAAAACTGAATTCTCATAAAGAATTTTATCAATAAATTTTTAAATAATTTAAATCTTTTTATAAATTTTAATAAAATTGTTAAGATCAATTGTATTTTTCGAGGAATTCAATTGATAAATTGTCTCAAAAGTAATTAAAATCCTGCGATGAGTTTTATTATTTATGAAAATAATTAAAATTTTTAATTTTCTCAAGAATTTTATTAAAATTTTTTAATTTCGGAGAAGAATTTTATTATTTATAAAAATACTTGAAATTTTCACAAGATTTTTTTCTAATTTTTGAACATAATTGAATTTCTGCGAAGAATTTTATTAATTCTTTTGAAAATAATTTAATTCTTGAAACGAATTTTATTCAGATTAAAAAAATTACTGAATTTTTGTGAAGAATTTTATTATTTATATAAATAATTGAATTCTTGCAAAGAATTTTATTGAAGTTTATAAAAATAATTTAATTTCGGTGAAGAATTTTATTATTTATAAAAATAATTGAATTAATTCAAAGAAATTTATTAATAATTTTGTAGATAATTGAATCCCTATAAACTTTTGCCAAGATTGAAATTGAAATTTTGACGAGAATTTTTTTTTAATTTTTGAACATAATTGAAATTGTGCGAAGAATTTTTATAACTTTTGAAAATAATTGAATTTTTAGAATCATTTGTAACTCTTCCAAAATTCAATTTTTTTAGTATTTTTAACAAAAATTCTTCTATCAATCTAGTATTTATGAAAATTGTAAAAATTATTCATTAAATAATAATTTATAAGTAATAATTTTATGATAGTTCTTAAAACATTAAGTTATTTGAAAAGAAATTATTGTAAGTTACAGCAAAAATTGAAGGTTTTGTGTTAAAATTCGTGGGAATCTTATAGTTTACGAGGCAAACAAAAAAACATCAAAATTTAGAGTTTTCTCATGAGTTTTAAAAATTCATTTTTTCCAGTACTTTTAATAAAAATTCCTGAGTTTTCCCTGAATTCCTTGACTTCCCTGACCTGTGGCAACACAGTATAAGTAAAAAGTATTAAATAATATTAATTCAATTTTTCACTCGTATGTGGTATTTTAATAGTAAGTTTCATTAAATCTATCACTCCGAGTTAGATAAAGAAGAAAATAATAAATATAGCTATTAATAATTTTTATATAATTTTTACATTACCTGACAGAGTAATCGATTTACTCAACTATACTAAAAAAATATTAAATGTGTCTTAAATGTTGTTTAGATCGAATTGGAGTTCATAAAGTTATTTACCGAAGAATTAAACAATAATTTTTTGGCTCGTTTCCCAACATACTACACAGAAATTATAATTGGATATTGCAAAACAAAGCGTCCCGATATTTTTCGGAAAACTTCTGTGTTAAAAGACGGTCAGTTTCAATATTATTCGATTTCAATTCATAACCAATATTCAAAATGTAATATTTTTACCGTTTATTATTATTTTTAATGAATTTTTACTATAATTATTTGTGTTCTATAGAAAATTGGAAAGCCTTAGCAATTTTAGATGCACTGCTGCCTTCTTCTAATTTTATAAAGAAAAGAAAAGCCAACGAAATTTCCAAAGGCAAAAAAAAGGTCAGTTCCTTTTTTTGTTTTAATATTCTTTGCACTTACATCAGAAAAATTAACACAGTTCTTTAATTAAATTATTGTACTATAAAACAATTTGAAGAAATACTTTACTTATTTTCCAAATTTATATTTGCAGGCCAAACTTTCAGAAAATCAGGCACAAGAAAAAATAGTAGCTGATGTCTGTTCATCGTCAAACAGTTTTCCAAACCCAGATTTAATTAGAATTATCCCGGTAAGAAAATTGTTTTCATTTAAAATTCTTAATTTATTTCTTCTTATAATTCTGCAATGTAAATTGTATAATTTTAATGTTGAAAATATCACAAATTATTTTTAAAAGTTGACTATGATGGAAAGATTTCAAAATAGTTAAATTTTTATATTCTTTGTAAATATTTCTTGAAATATTGTATGTATAAATCTTATAATGAAGGAATTTCTTTCAGGAAGGAACAAATGTTACTGATTATATTCAAAACGTAATTAAGGAAGCAAGTGGAAGTCTTCAACCTTATGTTTTATGTGTGTCAGGTCAAAAATTGGATAAATATTTTATCCAAGTCGATGGAAAATTAATAGAAATTGATTCTAATGCACACCCGATCACTGCCTTTGACATTCTTTTTAAAATTCATTTTGTGACAAATGTTGAATTTGCAGATTCTCTTTTTTTCTTTTATAATTTCATAGAATATTATGTCTACAAAAGACAAGTGACATTAAAAAATTCTGTTGCGTCAATGCATTCTTCACTCAATAATTTTAAGGAACAAAACTAAAGACAATTTGATTGTTTTAATTTTTAAAAAAGTTTAGCTTTATGCAACTTGTTTTTCGATTTACAAAAATGTTCAATATTCATTAATGTATCATTTAATAAAAAATAAAAATTTTGTTTAATCTTTTCTAAAAAAATATTTTACTGATTTAAATAGTACATTATTGATTTTAACTAATTGATTCAGTAGTTTTTACTCACTGTTTCAATCAGTAATGGTTATATCACTGATTGATTTAGTAATATTTCACTGATTCACAGTCGCTAAATTCCAGCTATTTGAATCAGTGAAATCTCACTGAAAATCAGTGCAATTTCACTGATTCAAATTTAGAGAGAACCTAGCGATCCTAACCATAATGATTAGGAATCCTTATTACTTTTACTAGATTAAGATTAACTATAGAGTCATAGTTAATAATACCATTGAGAATTTTTTCGGTGTACCGCTCACGAAAAAAAATACTGCTATTAGCCAATAAAAAAAAATTCGAACTCCTCCTACTTAAAGAAAGAAATTTTTTATTCGTTGGTTCAGTTAAACAAAATGGAGAAAATAATTAATATTTGAAAAATAAAACATATAATCCCAACCCACAAAAGAAAAAATAAATTTTACTGAACAATAGAAAATTAAATTATAACTCCTCCTATTTTTTCGGAAAGGGTTATGGTTAAATTTTACGTTTTTAAAATTATAAATATTCTTCCATTTTTTCAACTGAACCAACAAATAAAAAAATAGCTTTTTTTAAGAAGGAGGAGTTTAAATTTTATTTTAATTGGTTTAAATCGTCCATTTTTTCTTTCGGGGGTTGGAAATATATGATTTATTTTTTAAATATTAATTTTTTCTCCATTTTGTTTAATTCAACCAACAAATAGAAAAATTTAGTTAAGGGTTCATGCCACTTTGGCATCTTCAAAAAAGCAAAATTTTTTTTATTACGGATTTCGAAAGTAAAATATGTCAAAAATGTGGTGTAAAATTTTTAGAAAGATCCCAGCACTCAAAATATATTTTTTTCAATGCTATTTGAGCGCGTACACGGCTATGTATAAGTATACAACACAAACTTTAAACCCGTTTTTCTCAAAACCACATTTTTCTATGCTGCGGGATGTATTTCTCGGAAACTACTGGACCGATTCTCAAAATTTTTTTACGAAAATCTTCGTCACATGGGTGGGTATCGCCGGAACTAGAATTATTTAAAAATATTCATTTTTACTATTTTTTCAAACCGAAAAACTGCCAAAAAAACCTTAATTTTCGAAAAAAAAAATTTAAATTGCCGCCATTTTGTTATTTTTGCATAAAAATTAAAAATTCTAGTTCGGGCGATAGGCACAGTCCTACTGAAGATAAATCAACTTGAATTTTGTGTTTTAGATTTTTCTAACCTGAGAAATCAATCCCGCAGCTGGCATCGGTATTTTTAGCAGGTCTAAAATTATTGTTAAATCTTAAATGAGCAAAAAATATTTTTTTAATAAAATAAGGTTTTTTATAAAGTGAAAGAGTGTATTTATTGAACTAAAAAAAAATGCAGATTAATATAATCCATAGGAATCGTAAAAAAAATTCTAGAAAATAGCTTCATTTTCAAGCGTCCCGCAGTAAACAATAACTATAATTGAAATAAATTAAAAAGAATTCACAAAGAGTTTCAGTGAATCCCGCTTTGTGACAAATACGAATTGGAGCTATGTTGCAATTTTCCTAAATTCGTCAAACTGTATTGAACTTCCAAACCTTCTATTCATACTAATTCAATGGACAAGTTTTGGGGCCTTTAATTTTTTTTAATTCGTCAGCACGAATTCAATGCATGCCTTGGTCATTTCTTACGGATGCGAATTCGTTTGCACAACTTCAGGCAAATTGAATTGAATTCAATCGAATATACAAAGAGCTTGAATGATTCCCGCTTTCTACCAAAAATCTTAATTCATTTCAATCCGTTTGAATTAGTTTTTTTTTACTGGGGTGTAAAGCGGTATGAACCCTTAAGACTAAATGTTACTTTGTTTTTTAAAAGGTCAAAAATTTCTTAGAAAAAAATAAGCATATTTTCAAAACCGCAGGCTTGTTTAGAAATATGAACAGTAACGTTGCAGAGAATAATTTTTTGAAATAATAAGCCATATTAAAATTAAATTGATTTTAAATGTAATTAAAATTATTAATGAAATAATTTAATTACTTACCATTCTTAAAAATTTCTATAGAATAGATATGACAAAAAATGTGGATTATATGTTAATTGTACAAAAAGAAATAAATATTTTGATTGTCAATTTGTTTCTCGAGTATTGATATTGCTATTAATCTAAATAATAATATTAATAATAATATTTAAATTATTAATTTTATTATTAAATAAATTTTATTTATTTTCTATAAAGAAATAAATATAAATAATAAATCTTATAATTTAAAAATAAATTCAATTTCCGATTGCACTTACTTAGTTAAAAATTCCCACCTTTTTAAATTGTTATGAATTAGAGGTTATGTTTATTTTACCTTTTTTATGTTACATTAGTATAAAAATGTGACGCTCCACGGTGAAAGACGCCTAACGCAGAAATAACTTTAGGTGGTGATTGTGATCGTTTCAACAACGCCGTTTGTTCATGTATGATTTTGCATAGATATAACAGCTAATTTTCTTCTATCTAATAAAAATTGGATGTATTATCCAACCTTTTTTCTGCGTGTGTATAAAACTGTAAACCAGTGTTCTTAATAACAATTTTTTGTTTAAACAATGGGTGAATTGTTAATTTAAGTCAAATTGATATTGTATGTACACTGAAAGACTTTTCGTTTTAAAAAATGATTGAAAATATATGAAACTTTAACATGGCAGCGTTTCAAAGTGGGAAAAACCGTGTTTTCGTTTCAAAAATTAATATGGCGCATACTAACCTTTTCAACGACTAAAACTAATATATTCATTCCAATTAATGGAAAAAATGTATTAAATATTTGGAAGAAATCTATTACTTTTTCATACAGACTATATTAAAAATTTGGACGTATCTTTAAAAGAAAAAAAATGCGTCAACCAATCACAATGCGAATTTACAAAATCTACTGCGCTTGCGTAGTATTAACCCTTGCGGATTGAGATCACTGTATTGTCACCGACTAAACGGTGATTTTACGGTGAAAAGTAAATAAAAACTGTAAAACATTAAAAAAAGACAAAGTAAAATAGAAAAATTGAAAGAGGACAATTTATTGAAGAAATTGGTATTAGCACTTTATTAATAAATATTTATTATTAATGTGAAAATAATATTTAAAGTTGAGGTGATCTCCGGTGATATTTTACACTGTCACGGTGATTTGTAAAATACTCGTGTAATTGCACTTTGTTCATACCTAAAAGTGTATAAAATTAACAGCCATTGATATATAGAACACATATAAAACGAAAAATATCTACTTAACTTAGTAATTATAATAAAAATAAATGAAAAAAGTAAAAAGTTTGTTTTTGAGTGTCATACGAGAATGAGTAATTTGCTTTGTAGATAATACGTGGTGCACATTTACCATAAGAGCTCGGTCGATAAAATGAAAGTGTTACCATAAAAAAAATTTCGACGTTCTTTCCTCCAGTAGATGGCGGAATGAAAGAATTCTAAAATACAAATTTGTATTATTCTGTAAAGTGTTTAATTTAAGTTTTTAATATTGCATTCAAAAGGTAAGTATGATAATATTATTTATGAATTCATGACATGGCATTTATTATAAATTCTAAAATAATTAAAAGTAAATTGCATTTGAAACAATTGAATAACATAATTATTCAGTTGAACAATGATAAATAAAATAATTTTTTAACCTAAAATAATTTCACATAATTACAAATTTAAAAAATCAATATTCTTTAAACATTACTCGATCACAATGAATTTGTTTATTTTCTTATAAAAAAAATTAAAAAGTTATTTATTCATGATGGCGGACTAACTAATTCTTTTATTTCGCTCTAAAGTTATGAAAATTAATATTTTTTAAAAGTTTTTTTTCTTGACAATAATAAATTTGTACTTTTTTTATCAAAATACTGAACAATTAAAAATTCAAGATGGCGGACTAACCAATTTTTTTATTTCGCTCTAAAATTGTAAAAATTTATATTTTTAATTTTTTTTTCTTAACAATAATAAATTTTTTACTTTTTTTATCAAAATACTAAAAAATTGAAAATTCAAGATGGCAGACTAACTAATTATTTTTTTTATTTCGCTCTAAAGTTGTGAAAATTAATATTTTTAATTTTTTTTCTTAACAATTATAAATTTTGTACTTTTTTTATCAAAATACTAAACAATTAAGAATTCAAGATGACGGACTAACTAATTTTTTATTTTTGCTCTAAAATTATAAAAATTAATATTTTTAGTTTTTTTTTCTTAACAATTATAAATTTTGTACTTTTTTTATCAAAATACTAAACAATTAAAAATTCAAGATGGCGGATAGATTTAGTTAGTACTCATTTTTTTATTTTTATCATGGCAACAATAAATAAATAAATTTTTTTAAAAGTTAATAATTTCTGGTGTAAAATGTCGGATTAATAGATTTTTAAAATTTTTGTCTTAATTTATATAAAAATAAATACTTAACTTTTGTTTAATACGTGAAATATCTGTAGATGTCAGTAAACATTCATTGTTTTTTTCAGTAGAACGTCTCACATTTATAGTAATTGAACCAATTTATTTGTTTTATCGATATTCAGTGAAAAAAATTTACTAATTCTCAGAAAATTCCTACCGTCAATCAGTTGATTTCTACTAGTAAATTTAACTGATTGTCAGTAAACATTTTGATGAATAACTGAAATTATTTCCATGAAAAAGATCAATTGTTGTGGCCATTTTTACTCTTTAGAAGTTAAACACTGTAGTTTTTCTTCTAATGAAAAAATAGATCCTAAATGGTTTTTTGAATAAGAGTTTTTACTCATAAAATTATGAGTTTAAAATAATCCCCGAACAATACTTATTTTGATAAGCAGCAAAAATGATTCGGCTTACACTCATTTTGATTTTTATTTCTTTATTTACAATGTACCCATGGTCATTCTATCCACACTTGAATTTAGCTTTTATGTATGATTTTGTTTTTTATATGTTTTGATAGAATAAATTATACTTCTTTATTTTTTATAAATTAATAGATTAAAAACATAAATTCAGAAAGTTAATGGAAACTTGGAATATTATTAAAATGTAGTCATTAAAAAAGAGAAACAGATTTTTTTCATCTCGAATAATTTTGACTCAAAAATAATAACTTCCGGTCGGTCACATTTAAATTCACCACGTTTATATACATTGCGAATTTCCAAATATAACTGACTGTCATGGCAGACTGACAGTGGCGGATCCTGGGGGGGGGGTCATGGGGCGAAAAATTTACATAAAAAAAAGGTCAGCTAATTATGGTCGTTGCTCGCCGAATATATCTATAGATGACCCCCCCCCCCCTGGAGTAAATTCTGGATCCGCCACTGCAGACTGAGTTCGCGCATTCTTCCCCCACAGCACCGAAACTTTCTTAAAAATTTATTAAATATTTACTTGCAATATTCGGCATATTTAACTGGAAAGTTTAGTGAAAATTGTGTAAAGATTTAAATGTCCTGATTAAATAAAATTTTAGGAAAGTTTAGGTGCTGTGGGGGTTCATTTCCTATTTAAGATTGTTCAAGATTTTATATATTTAACTCGATTTTATAATTTTCGAAATTAATATTTAATTATTGGAGATTTGTGGATTTGTACAGTGTATTATTATAAGAACGCTTTAGTAAAAAATTTAAAAATTATCAATTTATATTTTCATTTATTTTAATAAAATATTTTTTTATAATATAATTAAAATTTGATGGGTCCTCTGGGGTTGATTATTATCACTTTCTTCCCGATATGGGTACGTCCATTTCCTGAAACAGAGTATTTGTTTATGTAATTAAAATATATATATATATATTCATTTTGAAGATATATTTTTGAAGACTATTCAAATCTTTTAACTTGGAAAATATAATAACTTAAATTTTTTTTCTTCTTATTTTCAATAAACGTATAAAATTTTGAAAAAAAATGACTCTAACAACAACAACAAATTAATTTTTTAACAAAATATTTTTAAAAAACCCATTTTTAGTGATTTGACTAATTTTGCTTCCTCGTGGATTAATCAATTGGAAAAGGTAAATGTAAAGCATTTTCTTTTCGTATTTCCCTTATATTTTGTGGCATGCCAAGTGGAAGAAAGTCAACCGATTCAGAAGAAATCAGTTTTAATGCTCTTGTTGATGGTATTAAATTGCGTTTATTTGATAGTCATATTTTGGCGAATAAATATTATTATTTAGTATATAACAATATATATTATTAATATATTTAACTATTTATACTAAACATAACTTTTTATGACAAACTTTATAAATTTTAGCAATTTTTTAAAAAGGTCTCACAACTGGACATAATTTTGAGTTCATCGAAACACTACACTTTCTTTTAATAAAAGTTGAGTATTTCTGTTACCTTTCGAACTTTTTTAAGATAGATTTCCAGCCTTTGGAGTGTATATACACAGTGTATACACACTGTCCGTGCTAAAATAGTATAGGGAGTATAATCCTTATTTTTAACAAAAAAGATTCATTTGAAATTGTAATTTGATGAATTTTTGTCACTCAAAATACAATTTGCATGAATATTTATATAAACTAGTTATAATTAATTATAATTACCACGATTGAAATTTCTTTGTTTTCTTCCAGCGTTCTGCTTTCTTCCTCTACCCCTCCTTTCTTCATAACTTGTCTCCCTTAACCTATTTCTATCCCCTTCATTTCTCCTTTCTGAATCATGTCCTCTTTGAGAATTCCTTCTGCTATTCTCCTTCTTACTTGAACTACTTCCTTCTCTCACACTTTTTGATCTTCTATCCTTTCCTCCATTTCCCTTATCGGTTTTATTCTTTGGATCAATATGTGCGGTCTGAAAATATAATTCATGTTTGGTAAATATTATCGGCCAATAAAGGTATTTAAATTTAGTAAGGTAGAATAAAGTTGGTTATTTGTATGCAGAAAAACTTTGTTCACAGACCTGTGGGCATTCGGTTTTTTTCAATAAATATTTCTGATTCTAGTCAACGCAATGGTGAAAATGGTATGGATTAAGAAACTTTTTAGTTTTTCTTAATCGAATTAACCGTTGCAGAAAAAAGTGTTACAAACTTCCAGACATAATTATTTCCGGCAGCTATTTTCTTAAACCTCATTTTGAAAAAAAAAAAATTTCAAATAATTTAGGTCTAGAATTTTAATTTTAAAATTTTTTAAATAATAAATTGTTTTATTATTAAAAAAAATTCGTTAAAAAAACCTCAAATTCTGTTCAATATCGTGTTAATACATTATTTTTGCAGTTAAAATTTTTCGTTTTTGCTTCCTCATGAGGAAGCTTTGCATTCGTGATGATTTTCAATTTTTCAAAAGAAGGTTATATGGACTCATTTTCATTTAGAACATAAATGTATATTCAATTCTAAGCAAATGTCCAGATGTATGTATGTGTGTGTGTATGTAACAAAAATTGTGTACAAATTATCTCAGACAAATTTTGATGGATTGTCCTGAAATTTTGCAGGTTTATTGCAGTCATTAATACCTAAAATCTGACACAAGGATTTTCAAAAATATCTACAAAAATTTTTTTTATACAATTTCTTTAAAATTAAAAAAAAAAATTTTTATTTCTCAATATTTTTATTAATTATTCTGAAAATTACATTCCTGACAACAAAACGAATCGATTGATGTATAGAAAGTATATATTTTATTAAAATTTATAAAAGTAATAAATATTTTTCTTTTTCACAAAAAATGCAAATTTTTTTTCATAATTTATTAATTATTAATCTTAATATTTTAAAATGATTATTCTATCATAAAAAAGCATTTGGCTTATGGATGTGTAAATTTTATTAAATATTTATGTATTGATGAAGCTAAATGGACATGAAATAAACAACTTGTTTAAACCAGTTCAAATGATAAATTCTTCTTTGAAAATTCAATGAGTTTTACCTGAAATACACTACAGTTTACAAATTCTAACATTTCAACCTACGGTTTTCGATTCTAGAGAAAGAATGTGAAAAATTTTTTGATATCATATTGCAGTCATTTCTTATATATAATCTAGCATTTATTAATATTTTTTTGAAATTTTAGCTGACATTTAAAATTTTAAAAAGTGATTAAATATATTTTTGAAGATTATGTTGCAAAAATTTAAAATTTGTAGCAGAGAAGACTTATAAGAAAAACCTTTCTTACCCAGTAATAAGGGGTGAATTAAAGTGAATTGGCACTTTTATGCCCTTAAATTACAAACCAATTCCGTTTTTGTCCGCAATCTTAATGAATTCCTTTTCTATTGTTAAATTAATAATTTCTATCCAATTCAATTCTCTGTAACCACGTGGCCAGAATTTGAATCCCCTTTAATGCCCTCTAAAGAATTCAATGTTAATTAAAAGGCATTAACTCCACAACAAATGATTCCCTTAAACGCCATTAAAGTAAATTCAGAATCTGGTCACGTGGTTACAGAGAATTGAATTGGATAGAAATTATTAATTTAACAATACAAAAGGAATTCATTAAGATTGCGGACAAAAACGGAATTTGTTTGGAATTTAAAAGCATAAAAGTGCCAATCCACTTTAATCCACCCCTTATTACTGGGTAGGATTTAAATAAAAGAAAATTAAAATCGGTGGAGATTTTTGTTGTTAGAATTTTGTTCAAAGTAATGGACTTTTTATTACTAGTGTGCGGCGGCGGCGCAACCATCTCCAGAGGAAGGAGAGACTGGGGTAAACCCGCTCACTAGCGATTTGACGCTATAAACTCAACTCAAGATGAAAATATTGGTACTGTGAATAGTACTTAACATTCAACTTATATTAACGAACTTTCGTTTAGTTTCATGAATTCAATATAGAATCAGAGACGGTCAAATGTTTTTAGAGGTGTCAGAAATAAAACGTATTTTGAATTTTTAAGTTTTTCGATCATTATTTTTGAGTCTTAATTTATCTGGAAAATTTTTTTTGTTGCTATTGGATGTCCTTCTTCGAAGTACATATATAGTTTTGTCTTATTTTAAATAGATTTAATTAAATTTATTCTGAAATGTGAGGAATACACTCGGGGTAAAGTCGCACACGTGAAGTCGAGGTAAAGCCGCTCACTTAGTTTTAAATTTAAAATTTAGAATAAAATAATTCCACGTATTATGTTTCAACAATAACACAATTTATGACTTATTAAAACCAAAATTGTAACTTCATTTCACTTTCTCTTAATAAAATATAACACTATTTAAATCCGTTGTTGTAATTCATGAAATCTATGTTCATTATTTATTAAACCAATTTGTTGTTTATAGAATTGTTTATATAACTCATAAATTATCTATAATAAATCATACTTAAGACGGGAATAAGACGAACTTTAATATTTAAAAAATAAAACTGTTCCGTCTTGAAAAGATACAGTGAGCGGGTTTACCCTGGAAAATTGTGATTTCGAAATTAGTGAATTAAATATCATTGGGCACTGAGAACCTTTTTCTTCTACAATTAGGAACGGCATTGATCGACATTTGAGAGTCCCCGCTAGCCCTTCACCTTTCCTCGCTAACAAACTATGTATCCAGTAAACAAAAAACTAATTGAAATAAATTAAAAAGAATTCAAAGTGTTTCAGTGGATCCTGCTTTGTGACAAATACGAATTGGAGCTATGTTGCAATTTTTCTAAATTCGTCAAACTGTATTGAACTTACAAACCTTTTATTCTTACTAATTTAAAGGACAAGTTTTGGGGTCTTTAATTTTTTTAATTCATCAGCACGAATTCAATGCTTGCTTTGGTCATTTCTTTCAAATGCTAATTCGTTTGTACAACTTCAGACAAATTGAGTCGAATTCAATCGAATATACAAAGAGCTTAAATTAATCCCGCTTTCTACCAAAAATCTTAATTTATTTCAATCCGTTTGAATTATTTTTTTTACTGGGTAAACAAAGTCTCAACGATCCCGAGCTCACCGATCTAGATTCCAGTGTAAATTAAAATCAGTGTTTACTAAACATTTTAGTTGTAATGAAGATTTAAATATCAATGGTTTATATTAATATTCGACCCTCTTCTCGTATTTTTAATTTAAAGATTGCAAACATAACATCTAATTTTTTGCTTCTAAGGTTTCTTTTTTCAGATCGCGTTACATTCGTTTTTTGCGAAGTATGGTACGAATCTTACTTTGAATGCAGCCGCCCTCGCAATTTTTTTTTTCCCGCCACTTCTCCCTCGTCCATGACGTATTCTCTTTACCTGTAATTTGTTATTTTTAATCAGCTGCTAATCAATAATAGAAGAAAATTATAAAAATGTATTAGAAACTATAAATAACTAACTTCAATTATAAAAGTGTATTACTATCTATATAGAAATGATAATACATTAAGAAATTAACAATTTTTAAATTTTTCTTTATTACTTTTTCTTTTACGGCTTCCAAGTTTTTTTAAAAAAAAATTTTTTTGTGTAACAAGAGCTACTTTTCTTTAACATAAATGCAGCACAAATTGGTCTATCTCTGTATACTTAAAAAGTTTGCAGAAAAGTGTACTTTGCTGAACACTTTTGATTACTTTGTCGCACAGTGTCCAGAAAAGTGTACTTTTTCGGCACACTGTTATGTATATACGCACTATAATCTACGCAAAACTATATTTATTGATTAGAAAGCACTGCCTACACGGAAAAATTTGGCGACTAATCGAAGACTCTCGGATATGAACAAATAATTACGGAGTTGTGTAAATACTCTTCGATTTTTGCAGGAATTCTCGAAAAAAGTCGATGATTTTTTAGAAACCTATTACCGGAAAAAAGTTGCTGAATTATTGTAACACTTTGGTAGCAAGTTTCTTCGACGAGTCAAGGAAAATTATAGGTACAAAAGATGCGCAATCTCTAAAGCAACACAGAAAAAAATGCGAATGGTAAAAACAACCACATTTGTGTAGTTAGAAAAGAAGTAGTTAAAACTACCATATTCAGCAGCATTTTAACTACACTTCCTCAGTTAGTGGAACCAAAATGAAGTAGTTAATCTTATGTAGTTAAAATAACTACTTTACGTAGTTGAAATAACTAACAGATGCTTGTAAATGGCTCAACTATAGTGTAGTAGTAAAAACTATTGTTAAAAATAGTTAATTTTACTATTGTGGTAGCAAAAATAACTATTTTATATTAGTTGCAAACAAAAAGAGACTTACTGTTTTTATATAGTAAATACAACCTCTGAAAGTTGTTACTTTTATAATTTATGTAGTTAAAACAACTATTTCTTACTAGTTGCAGAGAAAGAAAGAAATTTACTGTTTGCATATAGTAAAATCAATTGTTGAAAATAGTTATTTTTACTATTTATGCAGTTGGAAAGATCATTTTTTTCTACAGAGAAAAAACGTGAGTGGTAAAAACATCCACATATGTGCAGTTAAAAAAATATAGTTAAAACTACCATATTCAGCAGCATTTTAACTAAACTTCCATAGTTAGTATAACTAAAATTGAATTGTTGGTTTTATGTAGTTAAAATTATTACTACGGTTATGATTGTGAATAATTTTACTACAGAAATTCTGAAAATAACTATTTTCAACAGTACTTTTAACTACTGCACTATCGCTGAGTCATTTAAAATCATATGCTGGCTACATTTCAACTAAGTCCTTGAGCTTAAAAAATTAGTTACTGCAACTAAACGGAGTAGTTATTATGACTGAATATAAGAAGAATGTCCTCAGGTACAATACGAGTCATCGTAGCGTGCGAGCGTGGTTAGGTGGTTAGGTTATCGGTTTGCGAATGTTAGGGTCGTGCGTTCAATCCCCGGCGTTTGGGGATTTTTCTCTGTTAGGTGTATAAGAATTTAACATATAAATTATATATGAACAAAAATAGGTAAGAGAAAATATAAAAAAATGGACCTCAATAATAATAAAAAATAAATAATTTCATTTTACTACTTTAAATAGTTAATTTAACTATTTTTTACAGTTGTTACAACTACAATTTGTTACGGGCGCCTATGGGAACTATGGAAATTTAGTTACTGCAACTAAATGAAGCAGTTAGTATGACTAACAACAAATAGTTAAGATAACTGTTTTAGTAGTTAAATTTACTGTAAAAATGGTGTTTATTACTACATTTTACAGTTATACTAACTATTCTGTCATAGTTCATTTTACTAAATAATGTTACGGGCGCCTATAGGAACTACAGGAAATAGTAAAAAAGTAGTCAAATTTACCATATTTTTTTTTGTGTGAAGAAACGCCAAGTAACACTGTTTATTCTACCGTGTCCAATGTACTATTTATGACAATTGATTAACAAGACTTTGTATTATTATTATTGTTTATTGTGTCAATATTAGCAAATGTATTAAACAATTTTAATTTGAAGTAAAGATTATCAAAATAATGACAGTAGTAATATAATTAATAATCGTTAGACATTCTTTTAAATTAATTAATTAAAAATAATTTGTTCGAATTTATTATTATTTTAATCAACTAATTAGTTTTTCTATACATTTCATAAATTAAATAATAAAAAATGAATAAAGTCAGTAAAATAGTCCTAAAAACATACTAAAATACTATGAAAAATTTTTAGACTAGTCGAGAAAAAATATTTGAGATTTTTAATTTACAAAATATCGCACAGCAAGAACGCAACGTAATAGGGCGTATTAGTGTTAGGTTTGTTGTAGGTTTATTGGTCAAAACAAGTGTGTTCACTGCGTAGTTGTCTGTACATGTAGGAAGAAGGAGAAATTGAGAATTTTTTTTTACTTTTCATTGGTCGGACGGATTTTTTATTTTCCACGACTGTCGATGAAACCTTAGAACACTGTAGAGTAAATTCAGGTTCGCAATTTTCCTCGACTGTGCAGCAAAATTTAGAACACTTTTTCTAAGTTTTCTTTAAATGTAGTCTATTTATACGATACTGGTTATATAGCTTCTAATACACTTTACTCTATATCCGAGAGTCTTCTACAAAGTCGAGGAAACTTTAAGCGATTAATTTTTTCCACGTATACGTTCGAGCAGTAACTAACAAACTCATCGGAAAACGGCTACTTTTCACTTACGGTGGAATCTACAAAAAAAATTTAATTTTTCTGCATAATAGTTATCTGACTTCACTGGTTACGTTTTGTGCGTCAAATAAAACTCTCTGAACCGCCAACCCTCGTGAGCAGTAATTGGAAAGGAATTTGTGTATTATTTTTCTCATTTAACGCACTAATTCGTCAAAATAAATTAAAAAGTACTGTACAACCTCGATTGAGCTTCGATTATCAGAGACTCTACACGGAAAAAATTTAGGGACTCCAGAAGCGCAAAATCTTGTACAGATTTTGTACTGCTGTCTTTGTTCAACTGAAGTCCTAACTTTGGAGCTCTTGTGTCCACTGAGGTGCGTCTGCTATACTTTTGGGGACACCAAAGCTCCCCATTTGGGATATCGCTTGTCCAAGAATAGATGGATAAGCTCTGAGTGCTTCTGAAGTCCCCAAATTTTTTCCGTGTAGGTTACTGAAAGCACTTAGGGTTGCCAGATAAGTACTCGACCAGGCCGCCATTAGTACGAGACAAAACCGCCATTTTTTACATGCTGTGTCGAATTTCTCAAACAAAACAGATGGAGCAACCAAGCGTGGAAAAAGATTTTCATAGAACAAATATTTATATTATTCATTTCATTTAAAATTTTGTCTATTTTTGTCGTTTAATATTATCGAGGTTGTACTGTAACGTCAGTTTTCTATTTAGATTTGCTATAAATATAAAAAAAGACATCTTTACCTCTCCTCCTTCAGGTGGACGTTTCCCATCATCTGCAGGAGGTTGGATTGATCCCTATGTAAATTCATGTTTTGTTATAATTTAAATTACCATGAAATTTTTCAAAAACATCGTTTTATTTACAAAAATCCTAAGAATAAAATCCTTCGCAAGAATTCAATTATTTGTATTGTAAATTTTCTCAAAAAAATTCAATTATTTGAAAAAATTGTAATAAAATTTGTTGCAATTATTCAATTATTTTCATAAATAATAAATCGATTATACGGTAATTCATTTTTGAATCAATTTTTATTAGAAAATTCTATAAGCATTCAATTATTAAAATTAAAAAATAAATAATTTATTGAATAATTAAATGTTTGTTAAAATTTAATTCTCATAAAGAATTTTATCAACAAATTTTTAAATAATTGAATTCTTTTCACAAATTTTAATAAAGTTTTTAAGAATAATTACATTTTTCGAGGAATTTGATTAAAATATTTTATTATTTAAAATCCTGCGATGAGTTTTATTATTTATGAAAATAATTAAAAATTTTCCCAAAAATGTTATTAAAATTTTTCTAAAATAATTGAATTTCGGTGAAGAATTTTAGTATCTCTAAAAATAATTGAATCCTTGAAAAGAACTTTGTTAAATTTTTTTTAAATAATTGAATTTATGCAACTAATTTTATAAAAATCTTTTTACTGTAACGTCAGTTTTCTATTTAGATTTGCTATAAATATAAAAAAAGACATCTTTACCTCTCCTCCTTCAGGTGGACGTTTCCCATCATCTGCAGGAGGTTGGAATGATCCCTATGTAAATTGAAAAACACCTTAAAAATTGTTGCAATTTTTCATACTTTTTAAAGCAGGGTATCTATTATTTTCTATCAATAAAGTGTACAGTAGAATAGAATAAGAATACGCTTCTTTTGTGCTTACACACATATGGGCATATCTCTACAACTTTTAAACTTTATGTTTTCGCTTATTATTGTATTTTAAAAAGTAGAGAAATAATTTTACAGCACCATAATTTGATAAATGTTTGTGCTTTACAAATATATCATGTGTTTAATAATCTTTTTAATTAGATATGAAACGACAAAAGCAAGTGAAAGTGGTGAAATCAACAGTTTCTCGGATGTGACGACAGAAAAAAACCGATCTCAAAATGAGTAGTATATCACACAAATTTTGAAGTGCAACAAAAATGATACCTCTTCGACTCATTCTACATTTCTGGAGAAAAGTATTAAAATGATTCACATTTGACTCATTTTAAGTATGTGACAAAATTAGAATAAGAGAGACCGAGGAGGAAAATTACAACGCTTTTATTTTTTAAACAAATTGGCCGATATACAAAGTTAAAATTCTTTTTAGTCAATAGTACTAGTGATATTACGTTAGAAAATACGTCAAAAATAAGTTTTCATTTAAATTTTTAAAACCTCATATTTTTTTAATTACAGTTTCATAAAATGTGCTTTTTGTTTTCTTGTAGCTTAACTATCTTTCTTTCAGTTGTAATAGTGTATTTCTAAATTACGTTTAATACTTTTGTGTAATTTTAACCTTGTTGTTGAAAAATAAATTGAGGAGGAAAGTACACGTTGTTACTTTCCTCCTCATTTCAATATTGTACATGCTTTATGAAATGAGTGAAGTAAATTATATTTCAAGTTACATATTGAATTTTGTCCATTAAAAGTAACGAATTATAAGTAAATAGAATTTGTTTGTGACATATTAACATAACGTAAAAATGTTTCATTGAACCAGGCAAAATTTGTATTCTCTGTTCATATTTTGTTTCATTTTGCTTCTTCTCAAAGAAAGCCTATTATAGTGATCTCGATTTTCGACTTTCTTAGAATCAATTATTTTTACAAATTTTCAAGTGTAGTATATATATTTCATCGAGAGGAACAAATATCTGAATGTGTCCGTATGTATGGATGTGTATGTATGTCACCTGATTCTTGTGGACAAATTTTTTCTTACACATTTTGACGGATTTTGATACAATTTTGTAGGCGTCTTACGGTCACGAATATCTTGAATGAGACAGAAGGATTTTCAAAGATATATAAAATCGAGATAAAATTAAAATTTTTTAGCATTTTTTAAATTTTTTAAAAAATTTATTTTTGTATTTTTTAAAATAAATTTTTACTTTATTAAAATTTTCATTAATTCTTTTCAAAATTATATTCATGACAAAAAACAAATCGATTCATGTATTATTAGAACATATTTTATAAATATTTATAAAATTAATCGATATTTTTATTTTTAACAAAGAATTCAAATTTGTTATTTTTTAAAATAAATATTTTTTTATTAAAATTTTCATTCACTCTTGTCAAATATACGTTTCTGAAATGAAAACGAATCGATTGATTTATTTAAAGTATACATTTTATCAAAATTTATAAAATTAATCGATGTTTCTATTCTTCATAAAAAAAATAAATTTTAAATTTTTATTTATTAAAATTTTTTTAAATAAATAGAGGAAGCTAAATGATCATGAATTGAACAACTTGTTATGCTTATCATTTGTAAATTCTTGCTTTTAAATTTTAGATTAAGTTATTTTCATGTTTCAAAACATTAATGTTTTATTAATTATGTGCGCTAAAAATATGAAACATCAGGAAAAATTTGGCAACTTCTGTTAAGAGGTAATACACCACTCTAGAGGCATATTTTAAACGCTGAAATAGAAAAATGATTTTTTTACTTTCCTCCTCGGTCTCCCCTAACTGGGAATAATTTGTAAAAATATTAATTAAAATTTTAAGTCACTTGAAGTTGTCGATTATTCATTTAGATACCGAACGCAAAATAAGTTGTAACAAAAGTAAGTCGAATTTTCCCTATTGAAAATAAACACGTATAATTACACGTGTAAATATATAAGAAAAAATTATTACACGTTTAAAAAACTTTTTTTTTGTGTAATACATGTCCAAATCAGGGTGTCTAACGGTCAGAGAATTTTAGAGAATTTCATTGTAAGTCAGGAAAATTTCTATAAATTTATACAAAAATTACAATTTTTTGTGAATTACAATTTTTTTAATCTAACAAAACTTAAAAGATTTTTATTACCGTTTGTTTCAATTATTAGATATTAATTTATTGTTAAATATTTCAGTTACCATATTTTTGTCCCAAGAAAGCAGAAATAAAATTAGTAAAAAGTCATGGAAAAGTCAGGGAATTATTTTCTCAATCCTTGTTAGACACCCTGGTCCAAATTGACATGTGTAAAGTTGGAAGTATAAAGGAACAAAATCAAATCAATAAAAGGGGCATTCCATTTCAAATCGTTCCACCGACAAAAAACAATCGCAAGGAGAGCGATTTTCTAATAAATATAATTATTTAAAAATTTAATTATTTGTAACATATTATACACTGAATCGAAAGAGAATTTCATGAACTTTATAATGCTATTTTTATTTTTTAAAATTTTTCTCAATTTCGTAGAGAAATTCCTGTTTGAAAGTTTAAACTCTTAATATCTCAAAACACCCCCCCGTCGATTTTTATCAAAATTATATGAAAATAAAGCTTAACTTTTCTAGTTTCCATTCCCGTATAATATATTATGGACATTTAAAGGGATTAATAGAAAAAAAATTGTTTAAAAAATGTGTTTTTGAAAAATTTGACAAATGGTACGAAGTTGAATCCTAACTAACCTTCAACTTCGTACCATTTGTCAAATTTTTCAAAAACACATTTTTTAAACAATTTTTTTTCTATTAATCCCTTTAAATGTCCATAATATATTATACGGGAATGGAAACTAGAAAAGTTAAGCTTTATTTTCATATAATTTTGATAAAAATCGACGGGGGGGTGTTTTGAGATATTAAGAGTTTAAACTTTCAAACAGGAATTTCTCTACGAAATTGAGAAAAATTTTAAAAAATAAAAATAGCATTATAAAGTTCATGAAATTCTCTTTCGATTCAGTGTATAATATGTTACAAATAATTAAATTTTTAAATAATTATATTTATTAGAAAATCGCTCTCCTTGCGATTGTTTTTTGTCGGTGGAACGATTTGAAATGGAATGCCTCAAAAATAAAAATGGTGTAACTTTAAATTTGCGAGGTAACTTTCATTAAATTGTAACAACTTAGAAATTAACTTCATATAATTATTTTAACGACAATTTTTAAGAAACCATACCACGGGGTCACATTATCTATACAATAAGAAGTAATTTAAACCCATGAAGCAATATGTTCCACTTGTACTTGACTGGTGCAATGTTTTTAAATTTTTGTCCGACATTTAGAATTTTTGAAATCCGACTTCAAAATCATAATCAGCGACCCAAAAATGATGTGTATAAATGAGTATCACAAAGTTTTTTCTATTTTTTAATCAATATACAAAAGCCAATAAAATTAAAAAAAAAAAAAAATTAAGGTTTCAAACCTTAAGTCCTTAATAAACTTAATAACCTAAAAACTAAAAAGTTCTATAGATATGCTCATATAATAGTAGAAATATAAAAATTCAATTTTTAATAATTTTAAATATTCAAATATTATTTACATAAATCATGGTTAATTATTACTTGGATACTCACATTTTCCTCCGACAAACTCATTATCGACTTAAGTGCGCCAAAAAGTTTTCCTGCCAGTTTGAACCTATCAAAAAAACCCATTTGTTAAAAAAAAAATTTAATCGATCGAGAGGAGCGATAATGATGCTAAAATTTGGAACGATCAAATGCACGAGATTTTTTTTTTAATTAAAATTTTATTGTGACAGTTTTTTGGCACAGTAGAAGAAAATTATAAAGTTTCTAAATGTGGAATGCATCTCTTTAATTTTGATTGAGTGGAACAATTTATGAAAATATTCTTATTTAAAAGATACTTCGTTCATTAGAACGTTCAAATTTTGTGAATAATAAATTATAAGGAAATACAGCCGATTTCTGCTATTTCGAACTTTGAGGATTTGAAATTTTCGATAATTGGAAACATTCGAACTCGTAACTATTAGGGGGTTTGTTATTTGTGTTTTCAACAAAAATATACTTCGAAAAGTTTAAACAACAGGTGTTTAAATTTTAAATGATCGGTAGTCGACTATACAAGACTGTATGTAGGTATACATATAGGAATTAAAAAAATAAAAAAATTTTTATTTACAGAAAAAATTTTTTAGAATTAAAAAATAGTTAGATTTTTATTATCTTATACAAAATGCATAAATGAAAAAAATTCATTTATGGCAAAAAGCTGCTTCAAGTCTGAAAAAGATGAGAAAAAGTATAGCTATCTCGAAAAATTGAATTTAAAGACGCACGTTTTAGTTAATTCACAAAAATCAGAAAAATTTTATTATGTACTTCTCTGATTTCCGTAAAGACTATTTTGCTTCGTTTTATCTTGAAAATAAAATTCAATCATTTTCTAAATTTTTAGTTACAATTCTTCAAATAAGTTTTGTCGAAATTTCCAACTACTTCCAATTTCAAATAATTATTGTTAACTTTTTCGAGAGTTTAATCATATTCAATAAATTTAATATAAAATTTCTCAAAAGACTATATCATTTTTGCTTAATAAATACTTAAATACATATTTTTATTTATTTTTAAACCGGAAATAAAATTGCACCATAATAATTGTTTAAATTGTTATGTCAAAAGTTTGCTGGTTAATTTTGAAATATTAAAATAAAAAAAGTAAGGGAATTTTAATCAAAATATAAAAGAAAAAACTAAAACTATTAAAATCCTAAAATTATTTTTATATTTTCTCTCTTAATTAAAAAATTTCAGAAACACGATAAGGAGGTAACCCAGTAAGAAGTAAGGAATTGATAAGAATTCGAAATTTTTAATTCTTTTGAATTTCGTTTCTGACCAATTTTTTTCATTTTCATTTAGAGAATTAAAAACGGAATTGATTGGAATTCACTTTCAAGAAATCTTTGCCTCAAAAAGAAATACATGGGAATTGGACAAAAACAGAATTCAAAAAAATTGATAATTTAACATTTTCTGTAAAAAGTTAAAAATGTTTAATTCTTCTTAATTCCGTACTTACTGGGAAAGTTTCAATTTTTAAAAATATTTATTTTACAGGGTTGTCACAAATATTTAATTTTATTTTTCCCTGACTTTTCCCTGATTTCCAGACAAAATTCTCACTTTTTCCCTGACCCTAAAAAATATTCTGATTCACTCTAAAAATTATTAAATACTTATTAAAAAAATGTTCTATTACATTTATTTACAAATTAATATAATAAAATAAATAAAATAAAATATTTAATCATTATTATTTTTCAGTAGGAATTAAAATTCTTCAATACATTCAAATTCAAACCTTTTTGAAATTCAACAATTCATAAGAATATTATTACAAAATATAACGAAAGCGATTACTCCGAGTCTTCGACTCGAAGTGATCGATTTCTTCATGTTTTGTTATAATTTAAATTACCATGAAATTTTTCAAAAACATCTTTTTATTTACAAAAATCCTAAGAATAAAATCCTTCGCAAGAATTCAATTATTTGTATTGTAAATTTTCTCAAAAAAATTCAATTATTAGAAAAAATTGTAATAAAATTTGTTGCAATAATTCAATTATTTTCATAAATAAATCGATTATTCGGTAATTCATTTTTGAATCAATTTTTATTAAAAAATTCTAGAAGAATTCAATTACTTAAATTAATTGTTTGTTAAAATTGAATTCTCATAAAGAATTTTATCAACAAATTTTTAAATAATTGAATTCTTTTCACAAATTTTAATAAAGTTTTTAAGAATAATTACATTTTTCGAGGAATTTGATTAAAATATTTTATTATTTAAAATCCTGCGATGAGTTTTATTATTTATGAAAATAATTAAAAATTTTCCCAAAAATGTTATTAAAATTTTTCTAAAATAATTGAATTTCGGTGAAGAATTTTAGTATGTATCTCTAAAAATAATTGAATTCTTGAAAAGAACTTTGTTAAATTTTTTTTAAATAATTGAATTTATGCAACTAATTTTATAAACATCTTTTTTATTAATTGATATTTTTAATAATTGATATTTTTCGATGAAATTTATTAAAAATTTAGTAAATTATTGAATTCCTGTGAAATTTTGCCAAGAATTTTATTAAAGTTTTTAAAAATAATTGAATTTCGAAGAAGAATTGTATTATTTATAAAGATAATTAAAATTTTGACGAGAATTTTTACAAAAATTTTGAACATAATTGAATTTTGGAGAAGAATTTTATTATTTTTAAAGACAATTGAAATGATCAGAATTTTTTTAAATTTTTGAATATAATTGAATTTCTGCGAAAAATTTTATTAATTTTGAAAATAATTGAATTTCTGGATCTTTTCCAAAAAAATCTTTTCTGTAACTTTTCCAAATATTTTTTGTAAAATTAAATTATTTTAAAAGTAATTGTTGTCTGAAATAGAAAAAATTCAAGGTTTTGTATTAAAATTTGTTGTAATTTTATAGTTTACGAGGCAAATAAAAGAAACATCAAAATTAAGAGTTTTCTCATGAATTTTTAAAATTCAATTTTTTCCAGTACTTTTACTAAAAATCCCTGACTTTTCCCTGATTTCCCTGACCAATTTTACTTTCCCTGAATTCCCTGATATGTATGGCAACCCTGTTTTATCAATTATTACTTTTTGCATTTAAATAATTAAATTCTCTTGGTGTTCAATTCTGATAAACTTGATATAAAAAAGTATTTTTGCAAAAATTGTAGAAAATAAATGGATCTGTCAAAGTGTACTTTTTTTTAGAAATAATTAAATTTAATAGTTTTTAAATTGAAATCTTTGAAAATTGTAATTGCTGTGAAAGTTTGAATTTAATAATCTTTGTAAAAATTAAAAGTTTTGAACAAAATTATTCAAATATTCAACAAAATTATTGACTTTTGAAAGAATTGTTGTTTAAATATTTATGAATAATTAAAGGAGATTTTGAAAAATTGTAACTAATTTTAATTTTAAAAATTGCTTTTAGATATATTTACATAATTGTATTCCGGAATAATTGTAACTATAAATTTTTAAAAATAATTGAATTTAAAAAAGTATTCTTATTAAATTATTTAATTATTTGTTTAACAAAAATTATTGAAGTTTTGAATAAAAAAAATTTTAAATTAACAATTGGTATAAAAATTGCACGTGCGCAAGAGGCTATATTAGTTTCAAGTAATTTTAAATATAAACTTTTTAAAATTTACCTTTTTCAAAAATGTGATTGATTTGAAGATAAACACGTGCGAAATCCAGAGAAGAATCACACAAACTGATGGTGTTGCCGAAACTATAAGTCAATCACAGAATATGGTAGGGGGTAGACCTGTCCTAACTAGATCTAGTCCTAAGATGAGCGGCGCGTGCCACGAAAAATGCCGACAAGTGTTTGAAATTCCTAAAGGCGACTATACATTAAAAATACATTCCATGCGTTCGCGACGCGACGTGAACCTTCCGTGCTGGCATCACAATATTATTCAAGTAGAGTCTACATTGAATGCGCAAACTTGAACAGAAAAACATTGACATCAGCAAGGAACGTACACCTTCGCGTACCATTGAATGTGTAACTGCCTTTAAACCTGTAATGTGTATATGTTGAATGTGTGACACTCTGCATATATATATGTCACTTTCTGTCGGTACGCTTCCATTGGCTTATCCCCCACCTGTATCCAATCTGTTAAGTGTGTGAGATTAGTCCGTTGTAATTCTAATCCCTTATTTTAGGAAGAAATTATATTCGACCAGGAGCTCTTGAGGATTACGGTAGTGCAAAAAATACTGTGTGAAATCTCAAAAAACTCAAACACATTATTCTGATTTATAAATTGAGTAAATTTATTGTGTTCAAACGTTATACACTTCATTGAGGAATTTAAAGTAAATTTTTAGAAAGCAAAAAGCTTCGAAAGGTTTGTTTATATTTTTTATCAGTTAAAAAGTATTTAATCATTATTAGTGTCACTCGCATATGTAACGCGGCACGTGAAAAAGTACCTATTGTTAAAAAACTCGATTTTCAATTTATGGTGCTATTCGATTGATTTTCATTTGCTCTTTCACGTGAAAAAATCAGAAGTTGAAACTTTGAAAGACGGAAATAGTTTCAATAATATTTACCTTATTTTCTCGTGTCGCGTCACATATAATAAATAAATGACGCGTGCGTGAAAATCCTCATTTTCTACTTTCCAACGAAATATAAAATTTTTTAAATCATACTAATGATTTAACCATTTAGATACCAGTCTTCGTTTCAACCAATGTATAATAGATTTTTCATATACAATCCTCAAATATTTAGATTGTTTGAACCTTTTCCAATTATTTTCAAAGAAGCAACTTTTTCGTCTTTTTCAAAAAAGGAGGATTTTTTACTTTTCTTATAAATATTTCAACAAAATACGATTTGTTATTGTGAGAAATTCAGCTTATTTTAATGTTTCGTTAAAAAAAATAAATAATTCTACGCAATAGTATATTAAGCAACAAGAGGATAAAGGCAGCCATTTCTTTACGGTGATTTTTTGTGACACGAGTGGAGGTCGAGGGTGCCCCGAGACCGGAACAAGCGTCACAAAAATCATCGTAAAGAAATTGGCTGCCTTTATTCTCGTGTTACTTACGATATTTTTTAATCCTAATGCACAAAAGCGGCGATTTCAGATAGCAGACGACAGGGAGTAAAAGTCATTCACTTGTTCGATTTGTATGAAAATGGCGGCCGTTTTCTCCCTTGGGCAAGAAAAATGCATGTGAATAGCTAATTTTCTTGCCCTTGGGAGAACACGGCCGCCATTTTCATACGGTCGAAGAAATGAATGACTTTCCTCCGTCGTCTGCTATCAGAAAGCGCCGTTTTTGTGCATGTGGGATAAAAACAAACTTTTATAAAATTAAATTTTCGACATTCTGTATTACAAACTTCTTAAGCGATTGGAATTTAATAAAATTTTTATTGACAATAATCTTCAAAAATTTTAATAAAACTCTTCCAAGAAGAATTTGAAAGTAAATAAAAATGAAACTCAAGACATTTTTTACAATATTTTCAGAAAATAATTTATTAAATATTTTTATTCTATTCTATTTTATTCTATTATTCTATTCTATTCTATTCTATTCTATTCTATTCTATTCTATTCTATTCTATCTTCAAAAATTTTAACAAAACTCTTCCAAGAAGAATTTGAAAGTAAATAAAAATGAAACTCAAGACATTTTTTACAATATTTTCAGAAAATAATTTATTAAATATTTTTATTCTATTCTATTATTCTATTCTATTCTATTCTATCTTCAAAAATTTTAATAAAACTCTTCCAAGAAGAATTTGAAAGTAAATAAAAATGAAACTCAAGACATTTTTTACAATATTTTCAGAAAATAATTTATTGAATATTTTTATTCTATTTTTTTTAATACAATTATTTTTAATATTTGGAATTAAAAATTAAAAAAAAAATTTAAAAACATAAAATAATTAAATTAAAAGTTCTTTAAAAATAAAATTTTTTAGAATTATTATTAAAATTTTGTACATCAAATCGCTGCCCTATAGCCGAATTCCGGCCCTTCACTTTTTTACAAAAAATGAAATGGTTTTGACAATTTTACTGATAGCCATCAATAAATCCAAATTATTAAATTAAACAAATTTATGAATGCTTTATTATCTATCAAAATATACAAAAACAAAAGTATACACAAAAATTTGATTTCAGGTGAGAACAAAATGGAGGGAAATAATACAAAGATTATTATAGTTAAGGAGGTTGTTTACAGGTATTCAGTCCTTCAGAAAAAATATTGAATTAACATTAAAGAATTTTTTAATATTATTGTTATTCGTATCTTCTGAAAGAACAAATATCAATTTTCAAGAAAAAAATTTAAAACTTACGAAAATTGTTTAATTAGTCATTTTGCATATAATCAAAGTTTTCTTCATATTAAAAGGTTAAACTTTTTCCAAACTGATTCGATTCAAGTCAATGATCGCTTATTTTCCTCAGAAAATGGTTCTCGGTAACTTGACAGCTCAGATTTATAAACAAATACACCGTTTTGAGAATATGCTTATTTGTTTAAAAATTTTTTTTTAAATTAAATCACTTTTTGGATAATCCCACTTTTTTTAAACAAATAAGCATATTTTCAAAACGGTGTATTTGTTTAAAAATCTGAGCGGTCAAGTTATAGAGAACCATTTTCTGAAGAAAATAAGCCATCATTAACTTAAATCGAATCAGTTTTGAAAAAGTTTAACCTTTTAATATGAAGAAAACTTTGACCATATGCAAAATGACTAAATAAACAATTTTTGTAAGTTGCAAATGAAAATTGAAAATTGATATTTGTTCTTCCAGAAAATACGAATAACAATACTATTAAAAAATTCTTCAATGTCAATTCAATATTTTTTTTGAAGGTCTGCATATACCTACCTGTAAACAACCTCCTTAATTATAAAAAATTAAAGTTAAAAATTAAAAGTATACTTATTCTTAACATTTTTAATTTTTCAAATACATTTTTTTGAAAAATAGGGGAAATGTCATTTGACATAATTTTCATATTTCGAAATACCATTGAAAATAATTTTTAATTACTGGAATTATTCTTTATCCTATAATATTTAAATATTAGAATTACCCTTTGATATAATTTTTAATAAGTCGAAAAATTCTTTGACATGAATTTTGTTTTGCATCTAGTGAAACTAAATATTATGCATATTACTGTTTCGTTTTCAACTAAAGACCTCAACAGACTATTTTTAATCTATTATTTATGAATAGTATTAGTTATCGACTATTTTTTAGTCCAAATTTAAAAGTAATTCCTACTAGGTGAAAGATTTTTTTTCTGTGAATTGAATATTATATTTTCATCTCTTTCCTTTTATGAAAGGGCAGAGTCTCGTCGTGCATCACTATGTGTGAAAATTTATCTTGTATAATAGTTATGAATTTTTTCAGAATTCTATTGATTTGCGTAAAATTCTTTTTTTTAACAATTGAGGAGCTGGATTCTAGAACCGGCTATTCGCTCGGAACGCACGCGCTAATATCAGTCGGGTAGCAGTGATAGACCCAGAGGCGCTCACTGCCACCCGACTGGTATTAGCGCTTACGGTCCGAGCGAAGAGCCGGTTCGAGAATCCAGCTCCTCAATTTAGATTTTTAGTGATAAAAAAAGTGAAAACAATTTCATTATTTATTCCATAAATTTTCCGTTTGACGGTAAGTAAAAATATTAATAAAAATTCATATTCATTCATTCATTCTGTTTTCGGCATTCTATCTGAATTAATAACTGGGTTAATTATGATTGGATGGATCTAACATAGTGCTATTCATGATTGGATCGTCGTTAACTTTAATTTTAGTCTATGTAAAGTGCGGATAGATGACTCCTTTCTCATATCAGTTCTGATTAATTTATTATTTATTGTAGAAATTTGGTCCTTACATATGTTAACGATAAAATGGTAGTAGTGTTCTTTAAATATGAATCAGCGGAAAATCGCTGATTGGGTAGCTATAAGTATGCAGCTGATTCAATCAGCGTATATAAGCTAAAAAATCAGTGACTATTCGCTGATTCATTAATGTATATACGCTGATTGAATCAGCTGCATACTTATAGCTACCCAAACAGCGACTTTTTGCTGATTCAAATTTAGAGAGTGTAGAAAAATTGAATATTCAATGAAAAATATTAATATTTATTAAGGGGACATTTCAGTTCAAAACAGGCAAAAAGAAGGCTTCTTTAGTATATATTATTAAAATATCTATGACATGTATTTAAAAAATTTATTTTACATGTAATAAATAATTTATTTAAGAATTTGTAAAAATTTTTTTTTTTTAATTTTTATTTCAAAATAGCGGCGATATACGCCATTTTTGAAAATGCCCATTTTTGGTGGTACGATCGATTCCAAACTTTCTAAAACAGATTTAAATGACTTTGATTATTAACAAAACATTTAAACCTATTTATTACTTATTTGAAGAATTTCTTTCCTGACTTGAATGCAAAAGACAGAACTTGTCCATATTTAATTGTTTGAAATATATGATCAAATAAACAATTTTGATCAATTGATGTATCTTATAAATAAACAATTGTTTTGGCTCAAAAAGTTGATTTTCTGTTACTTAATATGGACAAATGTTATATTATGAAGTTTTAAGTAATTCGGTGTGGCTGCTCTGAAAATATTTAATTTCCAGCTGAACTGTCACTTAAAATATTTATTTTTCAAAAATATTTTATTGAAAAGTGACAGATATTTAAATCATTTTTAACTGATACGCTTGTACAGTTAAAAAATTAAGCATACAAGTAATAGCTATTTACACTATACTATTTGTTAAAATTTTGTATTTCTTAGATGCAACAACAGGAAAGCACATCGTCAACTCCTTCAGCTCATCGAGATGAACCAATGCAAGATCCGGAGTCTAAATTAGGAAGAGGAAAGAGGGTTTGCAGACCTAATATTAAGTTTACTCCTTCCCAATATGATGCCTTGAAGTCAGATCAACAATTAAGTGTAATGTTTTATCAATATTACTTATAATATTTACACCTAGAAAAAAGTAATCTCATATTTAAAGAAAGTATCCCCTTGTATTCTCTCAATTTATTCTCTCCAAAGAAATTATTCCATTTGAATGTCAAAAATATTAATTTTAAGTGAAGTTAATGAACAGAAAATTTATTAATTAATGAAAGTAATTAATTTTCAACTATTAGTTCAGGCGCTGGATGCTATAAGGCGTTATGTATAAGTGAGAAGTTACCGATTCGTATAAAATTTTTTAGACTTATTATACTTTTAAAAATGCTCAACTAGCCAAAATTTCAAGTGTTATTTTTCAAAATTAAGATTGAAAAATCTTACACTTAGAAAATTTTTGCCGAACAGTTGCACTGGAAAAAAAATTTAATTGATTCAAATAACCGATTAATTGACTATTATTAATTAAATGTTTACTTGAATCAAATAGTATTTATTGAAGTCAATTAAATGGTATTTGAACCAATAATTTCAGTATTTGAAGTAAATACCATTTAATTGACTCCAATAAATATTATTTGATTCAATTAAATATTTAATTGATAATAGTCAATTAATCGGTTATTTGAATCAAGTAAATTTTTTCAGTGTGCCATCTGTAGGCCAAAATTTGCTCCACTAAAGTCGAACCGTTTGATTAATTATGAGCAGATGGGAAGAAGAACTCACCGAGCGCGTGGTTGTAAGGGATAATATCAGTCAGGTAGCAGTGAGCGCCTCTGGGCCACACACTGCTACCTGACTGGAACTATCCTTTACGGTCTCGCGCTCAGCGAGTTCTTCTTCACATCCGCTCAATTGGGCTACACGTTTACCCAAAATAAGAGCAAGCCGTTCGCATGTCTTAAACGCAACAGTTGTACTTTAAAAGTCAACTTCTTGACAAATGTTTTTTAATTTTCATTTAAAACAATTAAGAAAGTACCTACTATTTGATGGGAAATTTTCCAAAGAATCCAATACAGTTGGAGTTTTTAATCTGTCACTAAACGCATACTCAGTAAATTAAGAAAACTGATTTTTTTAAACAAATTTATAATTATATTTATAATTTCCGTTTTTTTGCCCATGTATATTTTAAAGTAAGTAAATTTGAGCCAAATGGAAACTAGAATTTCTGAGTTATAAATTAAAAAACCATTTTTTTAATTTACTGTCTATCCGTTCAGCAACAGTTCAAAAACTCCAACGGTACTGGGTGCATGGAAAATTTCCTATCGGCTAGCACTTTCCCAAATTTTTATTAAAATTGACGATTTTCTATTCAGGATTAGGATTTTTCAATCTTACACTGAAAAGGAAATCTGTAGTATATATTATTGATATCTTTATATGAGCATTTAAAAAAAATGTATCAATTTAAGATAAATGTGTCAGTTTTTGAATTATTTCATTATTTAAGACAATATATTACGAATATCCCAACTTAAAATCCCTGTGCAGGATCCCGACCGAAATTGGGACAAGGTTCATGTGCAGGTTCCGATGCAGGTTCCGATGCAGGAACCTTAGCTATCAAATCACTTGCAGGACCATGTACAGGAATCTTTGAAAACTGCAGGTACTTTAGTGTAAAGTATCCTGCAAGGAACCCTTAAAGGATCGTACACGTTTTTCTCAATTAAATTATTAATATTTTTAACTCCCGTGCAGTAGTTTTCTATGAGTTTCTCGAATGCGCAATACATTTTTCTGTCCAACATATTGTTATACGAGCCTAACATATTGAAATATGAAGTCTATGTATGTCAAATGTTGCTTAACATATAAAAATTCAAAAGTTTATGTACAGGATCCTGCAAGTGTTCCAGCACAGGAACCATTGATAGCTAAGGTTCCTGCATCGGAACCTGCACAGGAACCTTGTCCCAATTTCCTGCATGAGATCCGGTCGGGATCCTGTACAAGACAAATATAATTATATAATTATATATTAAAATATAATACAAGATTTAGCATTTTTCACAATGAAATTTCTTTTACTGTAGTTTTGAAAAATAACACTTTTTACAAAGTTGACGATTTTAAGTGTTCTATATCAGATGAGGACTTGACATTTTGGCTAGATGAGCGCATTTTCTAAGGTATAATACGTCTAAAACTCTGAGACAAATTGGTAATTTCTCATGCACAATTGTGTGATTTACCCATGAAATCCATATAAGGCTACTCTTTCCAGGGTGTAAACTTTATTGTAGTTTAAAGAAAATTATTACATTCATTTATCTTTTAGACTGCAGCTAATCTTCAAGAAACTCCCGTCAACACAGGGGCGGATGAGTTGAGACACAGAGAGAAACTTGATTTCCTTCATAAAAGAGATGCAGATTCAGACTCCGAAGATGAGACTGCAATATCCAAATTACTTGTGGTGAATTACATTGCATGCGGAAATTTTGCAAGAATGGAATATCCTACCCATGGGAAGCTTTTCGTTTACGTTTGATGAAATGTTGCCTGTCAAGGTTACCGTGTAATCTTCCATTAATATTACGGTATAAGATTGGTGCAAACTTACTTCAAGTTCGCTGTAAAATTGTCTTAAGTTTACAGCAAATTTGATTTCATCAAATTAATCAAGATAGCGCGAAAACTTATAGATAACTTGAGGTAAGGTAGCTGCAAGCTTCAACGATATTTGAAAAAATATTTTAATATTATAAAATGAAATTTTTAGCAGCAAGCTTGACGTAATCTTGCAAGCTTATTATAGGCAATATTGGAGAAAACTAATACGACAGCTTCCTATGGGTAGGATATTTAAAGCTTGCCATGAGCTTACTGCTATATTACGTGCTATATGAGACTTTTTAAGTTGTTTGATATATTAGTAATTTTCATTTTTCAGAAAAAAATAAAGCAAGGAAAAAAGCATGTTGCTCAAACAAATGACGATCTCTGTTACCACGCTGCTTTTGGGGTTAGTATGAAAGTCTGAAACTTAAAAATTTCTTTCAGCGTTATTTACTTACTGTTTCCCATCAATTTGTATTTTTTCTATTAATCCTTTCCGTTCTTAATTTCTAGAATAGTGCAGAGAAGGGTAAGTCTCTTCGAGACATCCTAACAAAAGAAGTTGTCACTGAATGTGAAACTCAGGTAAATTTGAATAACATTTTTTTAAATAAATCTCTTTAATTAAACATTAGTTGTGAATTTATTTATAGACTACTGAGACTGGTGACCCATACTTAAAAGTAGAAGAGCTAAAAAACGAGAACGATAAGCTGTTGAGGGTTATAGTTACTCAGTTGGAGGAGATAGCGGCTTTGAAAGAAGCAAATATATCTAATTCAATTAGTTTACAACAATCCACCTCATATGAAGGACCTACTCTCGACCAGATTCGAAATGTTATTTCAGAAGCTATTGCCCCTGTACAAAAGGAACTCAGCATAATGAAAAGAAATATTGAGAATCCAACAGATGCAGCGTTGGCAGCTTTTGGTGATGCTGACAGTAGGGTATGTATAGAAAATTTATTACTGTATTCAATAAAATTGCAATAAATATTAATTAAGGGGGCATGTACAGTCATGAAGCCAAAAAAAGGCGCTTTTTCTTTATTTATTTTCTTTGCATATTGATTGTAATGTTATTAAAAATAACCATTTATTTTTTAATACAAAATATTAATCAATTTCTTCGTTATAAATTATTATTTTAAAAATTTGTATTTTTTTCTGTGGACACGATTACAGAAGCCAGGATCATCTGATATCAAAAAACATAAAAGATTTTGTTATTAGAATACTTTCTCTCGGGGGTGGACGAAGGATTTTTTTTCAATTATTGGAACACATTTTACAACAAAAAAATAGTCAGTTTTTTTAAACAAAAATCACTAGTTAAAATTTAAACTTCTCTAAAAAATAAAAAATTCAATTTTTTTGAAAATTCTTCGTCCGCCCCCGAGAAAAAGGACTCTAATAACAAAATCTTTTTTGCTTTTTGTTTTCAGATGATCCTGGCATCTGTTATCGTGTCCACGCTAAAGATCGATTTTTTAAACTCATATAAAATAATTGTACATAACTAAGAAATTTATTAACATTTTGCTATATAAAAATAAAAGTCTCTTGTTTAAAACATTATGAATAATATGCAAAACTTTTTAAATAAATATATTAAACCATTTAAGAAAAAAATCAAGAAAAAGCGTCTTTTTTTTTGCCTTAAGACTGCATATGCCCCCTTAAATTACCATGCAAATATTTAAAAATTAATTGAAGTAAAAACCTCAAATTTAGTACTCTTAAGAACATAGAAAAGTTATTATATGCCAAGTACTTGAAAGTTGAAACCCAGTTATTAGCAACCATTAAATTTTTAAAGAATTTCAAGTTGGTATTAAAACAAAAAAAAATTTGACAAGTGCGAGTTGCACTCGCACTGAAATGGTGGGTTCCGTACACTAATATTAAAATCATTTCGTACAAAAAAGAAAAAAAAATTAGAAAAAAAAGTGTAACAAAATTTTTCTTTCATTTTTCTTTAAAAATTTTCTAAAATAATTTTTTGCATTGAATTTTGAATTTTTGAATTTTACACACAGAAAACTGTGTGTAAAGTACTTCATTTTGTAGCGGTGTGAAAGAGAAATTCCAGTGTGTAAAGTAATTTTTAGTGTGTAAAATTATTACTTTACGCATTGTTGTGACTGTTCGATGAAAATCAGTGAAATAAGTTTCTTAATAAACAATCTATATTCATACTTTTTTGTTTTAGCTTCTAGAATGCTTTATGTAACAGTTCCCCCACTACACCGAAAGTTACAGTAATATTGGCTAAATTGCTGCAAGTTTAGTGGCTTTAGTGTTGCAAAATATTTCGTACGATACTCGTGCGTAAATCAATTTTACGCACTCGTATCATAAATAACTATTTTGTGATCAGACTGTAAAAATTCACTAGTATACTAATTTTTAACTAATGAGGTCAAAAAATGTAGAAGTTTGAGAAAAAAAACGTTTTTTCAAAAATTTTTTAGTTTTTCCTTGACAACGCTATGGCCATTAATACGTATGAAGTTCTCTATATGTTTCCTGTAATAGGGGTAAGCAGTACAGTTTTTGACCTATCAATAGCGATTGCCAACATAACATTTATATATTTTTTTAAATATTAAAGAAACATGTGAGGCATTCCATTTCAAATCGTTCCACCGACAAAAAACAATCGCAAGGAGAGCGATTTTCTAATAAATATAATTATTTAAAAATTTAATTATTTGTAACATATTATACACTGAATCGAAAGAGAATTTCATGAACTTTATAATGCTATTTTTATTTTTTAAAATTTTTCTCAATTTCGTAGAGAAATTCCTGTTTGAAAGTTTAAACTCTTAATATCTCAAAACACCCCCCCGTCGATTTTTATCAAAATTATATGAAAATAAAGCTTAACTTTTCTAGTTTCCATTCCCGTATAATATATTATGGACATTTAAAGGGATTAATAGAAAAAAAATTGTTTAAAAAATGTGTTTTTGAAAAATTTGACAAATGGTACGAAGTTGAATCCTAACTAACCTTCAACTTCGTACCATTTGTCAAATTTTTCAAAAACACATTTTTTAAACAATTTTTTTTCTATTAATCCCTTTAAATGTCCATAATATATTATACGGGAATGGAAACTAGAAAAGTTAAGCTTTATTTTCATATAATTTTGATAAAAATCGACGGGGGGGTGTTTTGAGATATTAAGAGTTTAAACTTTCAAACAGGAATTTCTCTACGAAATTGAGAAAAATTTTAAAAAATAAAAATAGCATTATAAAGTTCATGAAATTCTCTTTCGATTCAGTGTATAATATGTTACAAATAATTAAATTTTTAAATAATTATATTTATTAGAAAATCGCTCTCCTTGCGATTGTTTTTTGTCGGTGGAACGATTTGAAATGGAATGCCCCATGTATGTATCGCTTTGTTTTAATTTTTAATTAATTTTAATTCTGCTTAAATTTTTGTTCAAGATGTAAAAAAGAAAGCGCACATTGACAGTATATTTTTTAATTAATAAAATTGTTTTCAGAACGGGACAAATAACCTCATATTAACATAAAATTAACCAATCCTTATTACATTATGCAGGGTTCCTACAGAATCTGGAAATCATGGAAATGGTATGGAATTTTTAAAAGGCTTCTGGAAATCAGGGAAATCATGGAAAAGGCCTGGAATTTTTAAAAGTTTCTAAATTTTTCTGTTTTCTATTTTTTCTCTTGAATAAAAATTCAAATAATAATAAAGCTAAAAGGCATAAAAGAGAAGAAAAATTGTTGAATTTTAAGAAATTCGGATTTTTGAACTTTTGATAATTTTCGATAATTTTAGATTTTTTACCAAAGATTTAAAACTATTAAATAAGTAAAGTATTTTCCACTCTCTAAATCTGAATATGTGAAAATTCACATATTTGTACGTTATAAGTCGTCTTCTCGATCAATAAGTGCATATACACTTATAATAAGTGAAATTTCACTCAGAATAAGTTAAAAATTCACTTATTTATAAGTGTATATGCACTTATTGATCGAGAGGACGACTTATAACGTACAATAAGTGAAATTTCACATATTCAGATTTAGAGAGCAAGAGCCCAAAAATAATGAAGCTAAATCCCATAAAAGAGAGGAAAAAATGTTGAATTTTAAGAAATTCGGTTTTTCGAATTTTTGATAAATTTTGATAATTTTAGAATTTCTACCAAAGGGTGGAGACTATTAAATAAGTAGAGTTTTTTTTAAAGAGCCCAAAAATATTGAAATTAGATTTAAAATTCCACTGGAATTTCGTAAAAATTTGAATCATGGAAAAGGTATGAAATTTTAAATTCGGATTTCTGTAGGAACCCTGATTATGCGAATTAATGCATTTTATTACTTACATGGATAATTATTAATGGAAATGAAAGACAATTAATATAAATTCACTTTTCTGAAATAATCTTTAATATTACTATAGATTTGAACGAATTATTTGCAATTTATAGTGGGCAATCACTTTCTTAATTCCTGATCAATCACTGTACAAATCAGGCAAAGACTTTTTTTTCTGTCTGGTCGAGACATTTTAAAATTTTTCTTTTTTATTCTACTGCTTCGAAATTTTCCAAACATGTTTTTAATTCAGGAAGCTATTGGTATTCTTCTACAATTAATTTTACTTTTGAATATAATTGTATGTTTATAAAGCAAGATCCCTTAAACTAGCAATCACTATACCGTTTACCCCTATTCGCGTCAAAATACACCAGTATGCCAAATTTCAGCTCTTTATATTTAATAGTTTAGAAGTTAAGGGGAAGTTTTGGCAATTTCTATTGAAATAAATTTTATTTTTTAATAAAATTTTCTATATTAAAATCTTGAAACAAATAAATAGTAATAAACTGAAACAAATTATTTTATAATCGTTAAATTTCAATTGTTAAAATCTAAATAAAAAGGTATGCTAAAATTTCAGGTGTGGATAGATTGATGGGATAACAAAATAAATATAACAAATATTATAATTTATAATAATTATTTATAAAATGTTTATTTCTTTATAGGTTACTTTTGCCGGAGTCGACATTTCAAACGGAATGTTGGTATTGGCGAAAGATAGTAACAAACTGTCAGCTAGAATAACGAATTTAGTAAGAGGCTATTGGTCACCGGAGGTATTGGCTGTGGCCGGGTATAATAAACCAAAAAATGTCACTGATGAAGAGTACGTGCAAGTAACAGATGAAGATATTCGAAAAATTCGACGTAAGAATTCTAATTCAATAGAATCATGTATTGAAGTTGAAGTTAAAGTATAAAGTTTTAATTATAAAGTTTTAATTCTCTTTCAATTGTTGAGAAAATTCAAATATCTGGGCTATTACGGTTTAGGAAAATCAGTAATCGTCATTAATTTTTTTATTCAGGGAAAACATGATAAATTTAGAAAATTTTTAAACAAATATCTTTTAAAAATTAATTTCTTAAAGTTGAGTAATGTAAATTTCAAATTCTTTTTAATTACTTCTTTCGAGTGATATAATTTGTTTAATATTTTATGATTATTCAATGTAATTGGTTTTTATTGTTTTATATATATATATATATATATATATATATATATATATATATATATATATATATATATATATATATATATATATATATATATATATGTGACACGGACAGTTAAAAGGGACCTACGATCCGAAAAAATCGATTTTCACTTTTTTATCTGTTCTTATAGTAAATAAACCGCTCTTTCCAACGCAATAAACCGCAGCTTTCTAGCTGCATTAGTTTTCTCACAATTTCACTTCAAAGTTAGGTACTTTGACAAAAAACAGTGCAAAAAAACTAACTTGGTAAACTTCAAAGTCGTTTTTCTCGAAATCTTTTTTTCGGACCGTAGGTCCCTTTTAACTGTCCGTGTCACATATATATATATATGTTAAAGTTAAAGTCCGAAATCCGTTAATGTAGAGATTAACTAGTTAATCTGCGGATTCCCTAAGATTCACAGTTAAAGTGAGAAATTCGGACATTAACTAGGTAATGCTAACATTAACGAGAATCAAACCGTTAAAGTGCGAAAAGATCTCGATTTCGTGAAATTCGAGACTCTGTCTATCAATTTAGAAAGAGACAAAGTAAGTAGGGGAGACTAGGTGCGGTTGTTACAAATGGAATATCTCAGAAACAATTAGTTATAGAGATGGGGTTCCAAAGAGAAAAATGTTTAGTTTTTATGTACGAACTTACTGCAATATGTTTAAAAATAATATGCAAACATTACAAGTAAAAAATAGGCACATTGGTTTTTTATATTTTTTTTAATTTTTGTAACTCCAAATGCCACCAGTCTTAATCTTGCAATAATATAAGTAATAAGTTTATTTTTTAAAAAAGTAATAAAATTGAATAACAATTTGAGTAATGCTATTAATTATTATATTAATTATAATTAATATAATTATATAATAATAATTAATTATAATTAATATTAATTATTTAATTTATAAGTAATAAGTTTATTTTTAAAAAAGTTCCAATATTGTTGAACTTGTTATTCAATAAAGTAATTTTACTCTGAAGCAATAATAATTCATGTTTTATTTCAGTTAAATCATTTTTTCGCACTTCAACGAAAGTAAACTCGGTAATGTTCGCATTAACTAGTTAATCTGGACATTAACTAGTTAATGTTCGAAAAAAAAATTTTCTTTCGAACTTTAACGGATTTGATCAGGTAATCCGCAGATTAACTAGTTAATGTGCACATTACCTGAATTTCGGACTTTAACTATAACATATATATATATTACTGTGTAATAAAAATAATATAATATCCCAGTAAACAAAAACTAATTGAAATAAATTGAAAATAATTCACAAACAGTTTCAGCGAATCCCGCTTTGTGACAAATATTAATTGAAGCTATGTTGCAATTTTCCTGAATTCGTCAAACTGTATTGAACTTCCAAACCTTCTATTCATACTAATTTAATGGACAAGTTTTGGGGTCTTTATTTTTTTTAATTCGTCTGCACGAATTCAATGCATGCCTTGGTAATTTCTTACGAATGCGAATTCGTTTGCACAACTTCAGACAAATTGAATCGAATTCAATCGAATATACAAAGAGCTAGAATGAATCCCGCTTTCTATCAAAAATCTTAATTCATTTCAATCCGTTTGAATTAGTTTTTTGTTACTGGGATTATAAATGTATATACCGTAAAAATAATTGCAAGCATTTTTAACGTATATTCATAATTTTTTTTAGCACTGAGTAAAAAAATGATGTTCTTATTTTTTTTGCTTTTTTTTCTTATCAGATAATTAAATTTCTCTATATACTGAAATAACAGAATATCATCTAATGCATTGAGAATTAAAACTTTGATTTAAGAATTTTTAACATTCTTTAAAAGTTGCTAAGCTATACATTTTTTTCTTTTTAGGTATTGTCATACAACTCGAAAAGGACGACACTACAAAATTAAGTTTAACAGAAACAGATTTAAGTTTTAAAAATATAAAAACTCGGGTTCTACAGTCGGTAAAAGGTACGAAGAAGTATTTGTAAGGCTGCGCCTAGGGATCACATCTAAGTCTCAGTTTTTTGTCTTAATTTGATATCTTTAAAAAACTGTGAATAAATATGCATGTAATTTATAATTTTTGTTTGGCCATACTGTGAGTCACGGTTGGCCCACCTTCTCAATAATTCAATAAACCCACAGTTAAATTCAAAATATTGTACTGACTACTAAGAACTAATTGAAAGAACTAAGAATGTAGTTGCTGCAATAAAATATTGTGAATTACTGTGAATTACCTTGACTTATCTTGAATTACCTGAATTATCCTGAATTATTGTATTAGGTGTACACCAAAATCCTTAGTTGTTTGCCCCTCAATTACTATGCATTATCCTGAATTACTGTGGAATACCATGAATTACTAAGAATTATCTGAATGAACCTGAATTATCTGAATTATCCTGAATTATTGTATTAGGTGTACACCGAAATCCTTAGTTGTTTGCCCTCGATTGAATCTAAATTTTAAAATTGTAAGATAATTTGTTAACTTAACATTTTAAATTGCCGTTCTATTAAATGCCGATTTAAACAAAGTACACTGCAAAGAAAGACGTCTTAAAATAAATTGACAGACTATCGCAGAAACAGTGCTGCACACGCAGAAAAATTCGATTGAAAAATTTTAGAGATCAGCACTTGAAAGTGCTGATCTCTATCTCTATTGGAATGTGCTGAAGCAGAGATGCCATTGGGCGGAGGAATTTCATCCCCACTCTTGCACCATTTTACATTTAAGTCAATGTAAAATGGCGCAAGAGTGGGGATGAAATTCCTCCGCCTAATGGCATCTCTGTGCTGAAGCACATTCCAATATCATTCCCATTCTAGTCTATCTTTGCGGCTGAAGGATGAAAAATTTTTAAAAGCTAGTGCTTAGTGCAGTGAAAAAAATTAATTGACTCAACTAAATGGTTTAATTGTCTATTATTCAATAAATATTTATTTCAACCAAGTGAATATTTATTACATGTGAGTACTTTATTTGATGGTATTAAATAAATATTTAATTGTACCAAATACGAATTACTTAAATCAAATAAATGGAATGATTGACTCTAATAAATATTGCTTTAAATCAATTATAAAAATTATTTGATTCAATAATGCCTGGTTTTTAATTCAAATAAATATTCTTTTGCATCAATAAAATAATTTTTTGAATTATTTAAATATTTATTTGTATCAAATATTCAATTATTTATCATAATTAATTCTTTTAATTCAGACTAATATCCCTTTAATTGCGTAAAATAATTAATTATGTATTCCAAATACAAAAATAAATTTGCATCAAAACAAGGCAGTTTTGGATTCAAATAAATCTCAATTTGTATTAAATAAATGAAAGTTTTTATAATTTTTATAATTATAAAAATAATAAAAATTCCAATTTTGCACTATCGATTCCTAAGTCATATAACCGCAGAGCCTTAGGGTTCAATGTTTCGAGTACTCGATTTTATATGCTGTATACCGGCTTAATAAAGTAAATAAGTTTTCAATTTCAAACCGTATTTAAACTTACTAATTGTAAGATATGCGACGAGTATTTGAATTTTCTCCAGAACTAAAATTTACTCAAGAGCTCAAATTCACTTGAGTACTTGAAAATGTTTGAGCTTTTAATACGGCTCGGATAGGTTCAAGCTTCGAGCTTTTTGCATACCTCTATTAAAAGCACATCGATAGATCTCTTTGAAAATTAAATACAAGTCCCTCGCCATTTTCAATAAGGGATTTATTTTAAGTTGTTTAAAAAAGAGATCATATTGCTTCCTCAGAAGAATTATTGTACTACTAAAATTTTTCGAGTTAGATTTTTTGACATATCTTTATGTTATTAGACCATGGGATTAATTAAAATTAACTTAAAAAAAATGTTAGGACATCTATAAACGTTTTTTCATAATTTTGTAGAGTTGTTTTAGACGCATCTTTTGATTCCTAATTGAACATTTTTCGTCCATATTAACCGGAGATATTAAACTTTTAAAAATCAAAAATTTTGGAAAACAAGACTTTTTTGAAAATTTTGTTGAAAAATGTGGATGTAACTTTAAAAATATCTTTACCAACTTGTAGGGAATTAAAAAACGATTCGATTGACCTATTTTAGAACCTAATTCGATTATAAATTTTTAAATTATTGATATTTTAAGAACCAAAAATTGTGGAAAATGACCTTTTCTCAACTTTTTTGTTTGAAAACTTTTCTTTAACCATTAAACTATTATAACTATCTTGTAGGATATTTAAAAATATATTGATTTATCCAAAATTTAATCACTTTTACCATATTGATAAAAAGTTATTAAAACCGATGGTATAGCTCGGTTAACAGAATCTTGTGGCTTGCGATCACGGAGGTTAAGCATGATTGAGTGCGGTTAGTACTTGGATGAGTGACCTCTGTGAGACGCTACAGCTTCTGGTATTTTTCGCTGATAGAGATATATCAAGCGGGAGGTTTGACGCCGAGGCTATGTCTGTATATTCGTGATGACTATCCAAATGTACATTCATGACTCGATAGTCAATAAACCGCTTGTACTCGGAAGCAGGTTTTCTGCAGTTTTCTGCCGCAAAAGTAAGGATTTTAATTTGCGTTGTGAGTTTAGTTAGAGAAAGGTAAAATAAGATGAGAGGAAGACCTTATCACAGGTATACAATGAAATATTACTTTACTTTACTTTGTTAAAAAGTTATTCATATATTTTTATTATTATTATTATTATCTTCTTTCTGAGAAAGCAAACTGTTCAAGAAATGAGCACCAAAATTACAACAAAAATGTACAACTTGGTAGCGGATTTTAAATATGTATAAGGGTGAATAAAAATCCCAAGATGAAGATTTTAAAAATTTAACTATTCTACATAATTTAACTCATTGTTTTAAACTGGACTTTAGATTTAATTTTGTACAGTAAAAATTGCAATAAAATAAAGATTGTCAAATTTGTAGTATAATAGATATTTTATTCTTGAATTTTATATTTATTTAGTTGTACTTTTACTGTGTGACCGCCTAGATTTCTTTCCGAACAAGCCTAGTGAAATTCTATGTGACTTTTTAGAACCATCAGATACCCTGTTAAAAAACGGTCTCGGCTCATCTACGATGCCCTCAACCCTCAGTCGAGTCACAAAAATCACCGTACAGTACTTTGGTCTCCCCAAAGGCCAAGAAAACAGACGTCTGTAACCTGCAGTGATGAAAAACCGAAATTTCTTGCTCTGTGTTAAGGTTAAGTGGTCAGACATTTTCGCGCATTGCTTTGGCCTACCGGAAGGCCAAAGGCCAAAACAGATGTTTCGAAAACATGCTTTAGAACTTCTTTCAACTGCCCAGCCTTAACATTTAAGTCTAGAGCCTGCATCCTTGTGCTAAAAAGTTGGTTTAATTACTTTTCCAACCATGTAAATAACTTTGTTTTTTTTACTAAATCCAACTTAATTTTATAACGTTTTGAAATAAAGACTTCCGGAAAGCTAAGGTCACCTATTAGTGTTATAGTGTTTTTTCATAATTAACTTTAAAAGTATTAAAGAACGCTTCGATTGACATAATTTAACTGACTTGAATAAGAAATTATGAAACTAATAGCATGTAAAAAACAAGAATTGTGAAATGTATATAATTTTTTTCTCTCTTTTGTTTAAAAAGTTTAAGTCCACAACATTAATAAATAAAAAAAAATTTGTTTAATTTTTTTGAATATTGCTTTAAAGAAATATTACAATAATTATTGTTTAAACAAAAGTAAGAATCTACATTTTTAATACATTTTTGACTAATTGAAAATTTTTGTTAATTGATCAATGTTTTGGACCTCAACTTGGTACTATTATAACCATTCTATAGGGTATTCAAAAATTTGTAGATTGGACTAAGGTTTGATCATTTTTCAACCCATTTATGTAAAGTTATTTATATAATTCTATTGCTATTATGTATATGAGTAAGAAACATGTCCGTGAATTAAACACAAAAACAATTACAGGTTTTAGGCATCAGTTTTTAATATTTTATTTTAGTGATGTAACTATCTCATTGTTGATAAAATTAGATTTGCTACGAGGAACATAAGGCGCGCTTTAGCATCTAGTATGTTTTGCTGTTTATAACCAACATACAAATATAGAAACATAGTCACAAATTTTTTAAACAGTTTCTAGTAAACATTATTTACATTTTGTAATGACGTATTTATTATTATTAACTTATTACTTAAAAAAAACTAGTCCTTTTAATAACATAATATATTCTTTTCAAATAATATTTTTTAATAATTTGACACAGGTATTTCGACAGCAAAGCTATTTCGATTGCATTTTGACACCATTGCTTTCAACAATGGATGTCTCCTTTGAAGAAGAGTTCAATGAAGAAATGAATATATCCGTTGAGTATGAAAATCACATTGAAAATAATGACATGGAACAGGAAGAAGAAAGAATTGATGAGTATGAAAATCACATTGAAGATAATGACATGCAACAGGAAGAAGAAAGAGTTGATGTCAATGAACCAATGGAGATTTCAGAACAATCATCAAATGATGATTCTGATGATAATTCTAATGATGATTCTGATGATGACTCTGATGATAGTTCTGATAGTGATTATGACGATGATTCTGATGATGATATTGAACACCCAGAACGTCCACTCTATCAAGGATTTGACGAAAATTTCCGAATGAACATAAACTTACAAAACGACATCAATGTAAAAGCTAAAGATTGCCTAATAACCGCTTTAGCACGAAATGTAGCATTTAGGGAGACCTACGAAAGCTTGTTGGCACAACTCCAAGGGAACAAAGACCTTTACATTCAGTGCAATTTACCTACGACGAAAAAGAAATTATGGAAAGTGTTGAAGAGAGATAGATCCAATTTGATTTATTCCGTATATTGCACACTTTGCAAAGGAAAAGTTGGTGATGGAAAAATTCCAACAGAAGATTGTTTTTGCGGTGAATGCGGACCTGGAAAGGATAAGGAAAATTTAGGTACTTTCATACTTCCACTTCTAATTCCTCAATTACATGATTTCTTTAAACTGCCAAACATAGCCGCATCTTTGCGCTATAAGAATGAACGTGTTAAGATAAATCATGACAATCTGGAAGACATTTATGATGGCGAAAAGTACGTAAAACTTTCACAAGAAGGTAAGTTTTTAGCTAATCCATTTAACTACTCTTTCACATTGTGGGTAGATGGTGTATCTCTGGCGAAAT